CTGCTGCCCGGTGGGGCGCGAGCTCTGCGCCCTCTCTCACTCAGACCGGGACCATAAATGACTATCTGAGCGCGCCGGCGGCCGATCGAAGCCGACGGCTGGAGCGGCTTGATGGCCCGAGCCGGCGCAACGACTCGTCTGAGGAGATATCTGCCGGACTCTGCCCCGATGGGCGAGGTGTGACGGACTCTGCCTCGATGGGCGAGGTGTGACGGACTCTGCCCTCCCCGATGGGCGAGGTGTGACGGGCTCTGCCCTCCCCGACGGGCGAGGTGTGACGGACTCTGCCCCGATGGGCGAGGTGTGACGGACTCTGCCCTCCCCGATGGGCGAGGTGTGATGGACTCTGCCCCGATGGGCGAGGTGTGTGACGGACTTTGCCCCCCCCCCCCGCCGACGATCCCGATGGACGGGTATGCCTGGCGGACTTTGCGCGCTGACTGGTGAGATATCTACCGGACTCCGTCCCACGACAGACGACAGGGTTGTCCGCTGCACTCTGACAGGATGTCTGCCGTACTCTGCCCGCACCCCTCCTCGACTTTCGGGAGCTGTCAGATTGTGCCCCTCTTCCGGCTGGTGGGATGTCTGCGGTGCTCTGCCCGCACCCCTCCGCGACTTTCGGGAGCTCTGTCAGATTGTGCCCCTCTTCCGGCTGGTGGGATGTCTGCGGTGCTCTGCCCGCACCTCCGCGACTTTCGGGAGCTCTGTCAGATTGTGCCCCTCTTCCGGCTGGTGGGATGTCTGCGGTGCTCTGCCCGCACCCCTCCGCGACTTTCGGGAGCTCTGCCGGATTCCCCGGCTGGCGGGATGTCTGTCGGAGTGTGCTACGTACTGACGGATTGTCTGTCTGGCCTTTTCCTACCGCTTAATATATGTGCTGGGATGATTTTCGACATTGTGCCGTACTCGGCAACGCGTCCTGACCGACGGCACATGTGCCCTATCTTCCCCTCCCCCCCCCCCCTCCTCCCCCCTCCCGTCTGGCCAAGCGTCTGCCAGACCCCGTTCGTGAGAGACGTCAAATACTATCTAACTAACTGAAGAAGTCGGATGCGTCGTAAAATGATCCAATGGTTATTGTTACCCCCCGCCTCTCCCCCGTAAGGCGAGATATCCACGGTGCCCCACCCCGCAATGGAGGGGTATGGGCTGTACTATTCTCCCGTCTGCGAGCTATCTCCCCACCCTGCCCTCCCTGCGGACGGAGTCCACTGCACTTTGTACCGTCTACCAGGCCGTCTGCGGAATACATCCCGTTTTGTACCGGCCGATTTTGTGCTGTGCCCTCCGCCACCTCAGCAGAGTGCGCGCTGTGAGTCTCGACCTTGCGTAAAATGGAGTGTCCCACCTTTGGGGCAAATCTCGACACAATACTCCAGTGAAACCTCAGAACCGGTTACGTCTTATAACAGGTCTGGGTAGTGTCATCACAGCACCGTTAAAGCATAATAAGAATGTTAACTGTAATTATTTTTTAGTTCAGATGACGTTGTCAGCGCCATATGATAGCGCTACACTTCTTCCCTGCAGTCGCAACTACCGTAGTTATGAAAAGAGACGTGCGCAGCTCTCCTGGTGCGAGTAAAAATGTTTACGATTGGACCAGCGTACGGCAAGGGCCTTTTACCCAGAAGCGCACTGTTTGAAGTTTGATATCTCATGGTCCATACGAGTTACGCGGTATTGAACATGTGATGCCTCCACTCCCAAAGCTAAAATGCCATTTGAAAAGAGCCACTGTGGTAAAGGTCGTAGGGAGCAAGCGAAGCTAGAGCGCAACGTTGCGTTGGATTGGCGGGATGATAGCTTCATGTTCTCATTTATTTTTGCAGGCTGGTCTGCTCTGGTCGGTAATGCCAGTTTTCTCGGAATCCTTCTGAATAGTGCAGACTGTTCAAAGGTTGTTTTGGCTTTGCGAACCATTGCTTAGTTGGTTGCACCGAGTCTGGGGCACGAACGACAGAAGAAAAGCGAGCACATTTTTTTTGGGGGGGGGGGGGAGCTGGACCGGGGTCATCACAGTGAGCTAGAATCGCTTTTGAACTAGGGTGGGAGTGAAAAATTCCATCGTCAAAATATTGTAAGGGAGTGAAAAATTCAATTCACAAAAGTTGGAGTATATGGGTCAGTGAAAAATGCTTCAGTAAAAAAACATACATTTCAAGTTGGCATGGACGTAATATCATAAACGTGACAAAACTATTTTTGTTTTTCGGTATCTAAGATCATTATATTAAAACGGAATTCATTAGTGAACAGTAATTTCATTGCTGTGTGATGAACAGGAACACTATGTAACACCAATGTTTTGATGTTGCAGTTTACAATTCGCTTCCACAGGAATTTTTAATGCAAAACAAAACAGAAATTTATTAATAGTACAACAACAGAAAATTAAGCAACCATTAAGTATTCAAACAAAGTCTTGGACTGCAGCATATCAACACATCAAGTTAAAAAAACAGACATACGTCTGGCTCTGTCGAGGACAATAGTGGTTATGCTCCATGAAACAATCTCTCGTCTCCAAATGTAACATAACTTATAGAAGGCCGCACCAGTTTTGTTACTTGCGTCTTCAGCTGCAGCAAAGGCACGCATTTAGGTTTGTTTATTCATATTAAATGACAAAGTTTCATATGTTGGCTTTACATTCTGAACGGAATGGTCTGACTATTGCTTCATATCGATTTCTACCTCGTGTTCTAATTTATATGTAGCTTTGAGGATTCCTGTGTTAAAAACATAGTGCATATCAACAGTGCAGTCATCTGCCAGTCAGCAAACTGGCAATTATGTACAAGATCTGGTTAAGGGAGACATGAGGGACCACTTCAACAAATTAGAGGCAATTACTCAACAGTATGGAACAAAATAGTTCAATTACATGCATTGTGACATTATAATTTCTGTTATAAAAATAACACGATGGATTAAAACAGAAAATGACTAAATGTGGTTACAAATCAAATGTTGAAAGCAGGTAACGTAAGCAGCTACTTCGCCACAGGAGAAACTTGCCGGGTTTTTAAGGGCAGGCTCCTTTCTACTCCCCTCCCCCCCCCCGCCACCCACACACACACACGCACAAAAGTCAGCATCTTTGATGTGGTGTGCTGACAGACAGGGTCATCCAGCCCACCCCAAAATATAAGTATCAATCTTACCCACAGACTAACGAGATGAAATTGCGAAATAAGAAAGAGGAGGTCTACATGATAAAACAATTTCAAAGAGCAGAATTACGCCATCCAACACTTCTGTATTAGCTGGGTCAGGTCTGTCCCAAAGCCATATACGGCAGGCAGGATAATGTAAAATGGTGAAGTAGTGAAACTGGAATGGCTTAGATTTATCATTATCGAGCACCATCATAAACCGAAGAAACGACAAACTGTTGGTTTAAGTGGGCAAAAATGTTGGTAGAAATAAGTTCCGTGCTTCGAATTGTCTCCTTTATTGCCCGTGAACTGTTAACTCTTGGGTGCGTATCAAATATGTTTGGGTGCTTGGCAAAATAATCCAATTTATGTATGAAATATGTGTAATTTTGCACTTCGAATTTTTAAAAGAAATTTGTTGATATTTTAAGCCATAGATTGTATCTTTAAAGACAATCGGAGAGGAAGGAGAAATGAAGTTGTATCACACTCGTATGATACCAAGAAAAACAAGTAATTGAATACAGATAGAGGCTGATAGTTGTTTTGTAAAATTTTGTAATCAGCTGATTTGACTAAAACTCGGTGAAAATAAGTGTTCAAACGGTGATATTTAGCTTTAGATGTCATGTAGAAGATATTTCTTGAGTTCCCCCCCCCCCCCCTACATTTCGATAGTGGTGCGATTTAGTGTCCAAGTTTCTTCGGGTAAAAGAAATATGTGGAGTAAAATTTTCTACTAGGCTTTGCTGATATTTGTACCAGGCTTTGCTTTGGTGGTAGGGTGCTTGCGTGGTGCGACAAAAAAAATGGGGGTGCGTAGAAACGTTGCATTTGGCACGTATCTGTAAATTGTGATGCATTTTGCAAACAAACCAAATTTGATGCATGCGAGCGGCTGGAGTCGCTAGGACTCCCGAGCTTGAAGGTATGTGGTGCCCTGGCCCTGTGCATACACAGACATGATTCAGATGTAGGTGAGGGAGATATTGCTATAGGTGTCCAAGTTTCGTGGAGCCTGATTTATGCTTGACGGTTTCAAGTGAGCTCGGTTTTGGATGACGTCTTAAGACCTCGGAAAGGGAAATATGGGTGTGTTGTGTGCGGTTAGGCAATATCAGATTGGAGTGAAAAATTGATATTAAATATGGGGAAATGGAGTGAGAAATTATTTCTCACAGGGTGTGGCTTTACAACCAAAGTCGTCAATGCTAGGACACTGGGTTATCACGCAGTCATCCCAGAGACTAGCCAAAAAGCGTTGATTAGAACCCTCAGACAACAACGTGGTCACCGTGTTGTTCGCATCGTGCACCAATACATGTCATTGCTAGATGTGCCCGCTTATCCGGCGGCTCTCTGGAGCTAAAGCCACAGCCGGGGATCTGCCGGGGATCGCCGCGGGGCTCGGCTCCGCGGCCGCGGTGTGCAGGGGTGCGCGCGGCCATGATGTGCGGCTGCCCCCTCCCCCTCCCCCTCGGCACGCGATCCGGCACTGTGGCGCCTGGCGCCGCCTCGTGCGGTTCGTGCGCGGTCCGACGTTCGCGTTTGTGTCCTGGTTGCCGTAGGAATCGAACTGCCTGGTAATAAAGACAGGTTGTTGGGGCGTGATTGGTTTCATTCATGCACGTTGGCTGCGTTCGTTCAGCGTTGTTTCCCTGCATTGAACGCGTGGGTGCTTTGCCCTCGTGAAAACACAAGCCGGTCTCTGCCCTGCCCCCCCCCCCCCCCCCATTGCAGTCCGCTGCTGAGCCCTGGTTTGGTCTGCGTCGAGCGGGGATGGGTGGGCCTGTCGCGGCTCGCTCGTCCTGACCTTGCGACCCCGTCTGCCGCCAGGGCAAACGCTACGTGTACGGCATCGGGTCTCAGACGCGCAACTCGCTCTACCACCTGCACAACGGCCAGGACGTGGTGATGGCCACCACCTGCAAGCACGGCAAGAGCTGGAGGGAGATGCAGGACGAGCGATGCGACGAGGATAACGCCGAGTTCGACAGGTGGGGGTCACAGCGTGTCCCGAGCGCTGGTCAAGCTGGTCAGCCAGTTGTCTGCTGTTAGCATGAGGCCACTGAATTGTACGTTGGTGGGAACAATGCAAGGTGATCGATGAGAGCCGTGACGTATAAGGGCTGGGTGGACTCGGTACGGTAGCGCTGCGTGTAGGGCCCGCACATCAGGCTATATTTATGGCATGGCCATCGTTCAGGCTTTGTTTCACAGGCCGTTGACTGTTTTAGATGCAGCTCACGTAGGGTGGGGTTCAGACGCTGAGCTCGGCCCAGTTTTGGAGTGTCGTTACCCGATAAACGTTTAATGTACCCAGACTTAACCGTGTTTATTCGCACAAACAACGCTTCGAACGGATTTTACACGGCTGTTTTGCTCGCACATGTGTCGCGTTCGACTAGTCGGCTGTCCTGATTTTGTCCGAATGCGCTCGTCGTCCACTAGTTCAACCCGCCTCCAAAGCGCACGTATCACACTGCATCCGTGCCGACCATATCTGTATGCAGAGTTCAGTGCACTCGTCAATCCCGAGATGGGGCTTTCCTCCACCTGCTCCGAGACCTCCCTCTGCCCGGTCTGGGACCACCTGCCCGCCTGGGGGCCTCCCTCCCCCCACCCGCTCCGAGTCCTCCCTCCGTCGGCTCTGAGGCTTTCCTCCACCCGCTCCGAGACCTCCCTCTGCCCGGTCTGGGACCACCTGCCCGCCTGGGGCCTCCCCTCCCCCCACCCGCTCCGAGACCTCCCTCTGCCCGGTCTGGGACCACCTGCCCGCCTGGGGGCCTCCCCTCCCCCACCCGCTCCGAGACCTCCCTCTGCCCGGTCTGGGACCACCTGCCCGCCTTGGGGTCTCTCCTCCCCCCACCCGCTCCGAGACCTCCCTCTGCCCGGCCTGGGACCACCTGCCCGCCTGGGGGCCTCCCCTCCCCCTCCCTCACCCGCTCCGAGTCCTCCCTCCGCCGGCTCTGGGGCTTTCCTCCGCCCGTTGTGGGACCTCCCCTTCTGAGGCCTCCTTCGACCCCCTCTGGGGCCACCCTCTCGCTCGCCTCGGGGCCTCTCGTTCTGGGAACTTCTCCCGCCCCTCTGAGGCCTCCCTCCGCCTGTTCTCGCTCTGAGGTCTCCCTCCGCCCGCTCTCGCTTTGAGGTCTCCCTCCGCCCGCCCTGAAGCCTCCCTCCCCGTCCGCTGGGGTGCGGACCGGCCGCCTCCCCGTGCCCGATGCCCCTTGGCCGTATGCTCCGCACGATTGCAGGCTCGCCGCCCCCGGCGCGGCGGCGCCTATGCAGTGAAACGCGACGCTTTTCAGCGCGTCGCCCGACGGCGCCCGCCGCTGATTGGCTGTCTGTGTGGCGCGCGGCGCCAGTCACAGCGCCTCTGGCTGTCGCGACTGGAGACGCGACATTTCCCAGAAGCCCAGGAGCCGATCAGTCCGGCGCCGGGCCGGCCAAACTTAGTCCCATCGCCCCACAAAAGCTTCAGCGCGCCCCACATGCCACAATTGTTTTCCAGCCGCAGACCTTGTGTTTTGCGGACGTATCTAACGCAGCGCATTGTATTCAACTACTTGTGTGCAATCAAAATGCATGCACCGAAGATACAATATTGCAAGGAACACGAAAACAAGTTGAAAATATGTTGCCATTTCCACTAGACTTGAGATAGTCTGCAAATAGCACAACGCCACAGGCAGCTATCTGTGTGAAAGCAGGGGCTGGGTAGAATGCCACAAAGAAGCAAACGTAGCAGTGTGGTTCCAATAAGGGATGATCAGATGCGATCATGCTGTGCTACCGCCATCTGCACAGTTGCTGACAGATATCAGTTTCACGATAGTTTAAGCTGAAAATAGGGAAAAATGTTATCTGAACATTGTGTTTTGAGGCGTAGCATAATCTAAATTATCATCGGGGTTGATGGGAGGGGCCTGGAGGCCTGCACTCAGCGGTTATTTAAGAAAGCACTTCATATGAACACTTGTTGGCCTTCATCCTTAAGCTTCGCGCCTCTTTTCTTTTGGTTAGGGGGCAATCCGAAGATAATGCGTTATGAAATTCCTTTGGAATAGTCACGTGAAAGATGCTTAAAGATGCAATATTTGTCAGACGAAATGGTATCAAAATGCAGCTTTGTTTTCGTGAAACATTTCTCCTAAAAAGGATGAGATTCCTGAACGAAGAACAAGCGAAGTGCAACTTTGAACTTCGAACAGTGGAAAAACAACACGCTACAAAAGCGTTGTGTATCGAGATTGTGCTGGCTAGTGCTGGTGTGTGACACGATGACCTCCTACGACGCTTGTTATCTTTTTTCTTGCTTGCTGTTTTCTTTATGCCTTTTTAGTCCTTTGACGCTGCCTGTAGTTTTTTATGCGGTTATCTCGTTTGGTTTGTGAATGTCATCCGGCGTGGCCAGGCTTGGCCGGGGAGTCCGCTGGTGGGAGTCCAGCCCGCTGGCCAGGCCTGGCCGGGGAGTCCGCTGGTGGGAGCCCGGCCCGCTGGCCAGGCTTGGCCGGGGAGTCCGCTGGTGGGAGTCCAGCCCGCTGGCCAGGCTTGGCCGGGGAGTCCGCTGGTGGGAGTCCAGCCCGCTGGCCAGGCTTGGCCGGGGAGTCCGCTGGTGGGAGTCCAGCCCGCTAGCCAGGCCTGGCCGGGGAGTCCGCTGGTGGGAGTCCGGCCCGCTGGCCAGGCTTGGCCGGGGAGTCCGCTGGTGGGAGTCCAGCCCGCTGGCCAGACTGAAACCTGCCAGGCCGCTGGCGGGAGTCCAGCCGGTCTGTCCACCCATCAGATTCAAACCTGTCCGCCGACTGGTGGGAGTCCAGCCCGCTGGCCAGACTGAACCCTGCCAGTCCGCTGGTGGGAGTCCAGCCCGATGGCCAGACTGAAACCTGTCCGCCCGCTGGTGGGAGTCTGGCCCGCTGGCCAGACTGAAACCTGCCAGTCCGCTGGTGGGAGTTCAGCCGGTCTGCCCGCTGGCCGTACTCAAACCTGCCAGCCCGCTGGTCGAGCTGTCATTCGTCAGCCGTTGATCAGGCTTGGGCACGTCAGGCCGCTAGTCCAACAACCCACATTTCGCGGGCTAGACTCCATCTGTGGGTCTGCCGCCCGGACCAGTGTGTCAGTCGCTGGTCGGACTGACGAGTCAGTCTGTCGGCCGGACCCAAACTTGCCTATCGCCTGGTCAGACTTTTACCGTCAGTCTGCAGGACAGACTCTGGTCCGGTGGTTCGCTGGTTGCGCAGTGACCTGTCAGACCGATGCCACTGTGACCCGGCCCTCCGCTGGTTCGACTCCTCTGTTACGTGACGGCATGTGCCAGCCCAGCCAGCTCCACCTTCCCACGTCCCCACCTCCCCCTCCCACGTCAGCTCCGTCACGCCTGGCCGCGGCCTGGCCGTGCCCCGTCCGCCGCCGGAGGATGGCCCCGAGCCAGCCAGCCCATGTCGCCGGCACCGGACTGGCTGTAGGACACGTCAGCCCTGCCCTCGGTGTGACGTCACCGCATGTAGCGGACCGCCCCGGAGTGCACGTCATCCGTGCGACCGCGCCGCTGCAGAGGAAGGTGCGGTCGGATATTCCCCTGCTCATTTTTCTTTAAATGCTCTGGGAATGGTGATGGATGGTTGGTCCGTGGTCGACTGAGAAATGGTTTATGCTCAAAACCATATATGGGGTACCCAGAGATGCTTGCGAAGGTGTGGGGAGGTTGCCTCCTTTACTTTCAAGCGGACCTCACACTGACTCCTTCATTAGGGTCTGGTTCGGTCAGTTTCGCGACCTCACCTTTTGTTTCGGTAGTCGCAACGGCCCTGGTGAGCCACACGTCAGGGCTGTTCAGCCCGCCGGGGTGAGAGCCGAGCTGGTGCCGAGCAAACCACACACCAGGGATGTTCGGCCCGCCGGGGTGAGAGCCGAGCTGGCGCCGAGCAAACCACACGTCAGGGATGTTCGGCCCGCCGGGGTGAGAGCCGAGCTGGCGCCGAGCAAACCACACATCAGGGATGTTCGGCCCGCCGGGGTGAGAGCCGAGCTGGCACCGAGCAAACCTCACGGCAGGGATGTTCCGCCCGCCGGGGTGAGAGCCGAGCTGGCGCCGAGCAAACCACACACCAGGGATGTTCGGCCCGCCGGGGTGAGAGCCGAGGATGTTCGGCTCGCCGGGGTGAGAGCCGAGCTGGCGCCTAGCGAGCCACACGTCAGGGCTGTTCGGCCCGCGGGGGTGAGAGCCGAGCTGGCGCCGAGCAAACCACACACCAGGGATGTTCGGCCCGCCGGGGTGAGAGCCGAGCTGGCGCCGAGCAAACCACACGTCAGGGATGTTCGGCCCGCCGGGGTGAGAGCCGAGCTGGCACCGAGCAAACCTCACGGCAGGGATGTTCCGCCCGCCGGGGTGAGAGCGGAGCTGGTGCCGAGCAAACCACACATTAGGGATGTTCGGCCTGCCGGGGTGAGAGCCGAGGATGTTCGGCTCGCCGTGGTGAGAGCCGAGCTGGCGCCTAGCGAGCCACACGTCAGGGCTGTTCGGCCCGCCGTGGTGAGAGCCGAGCTGGCGCCTAGCGAGCCACACGTCGGGGCTATTCGGCCAGCCGGGGTGAGAGCCGAGCTGGCGCCGAGCAAACCACACACCAGGGATGTTCGGCCCGCCGGGGTGAGAGCCGAGCTGGTGCCGAGCAAACCACACATCAGGGATGTTCGGCCTGCCGGGGTGAGAGCCGGGGATGTTCGGCCCGCCGGGGTGAGAGCCGAGCTGGCGCCTAGCGAGCCACACGTCAGGGCTGTTCGGCCCGCCGTGGTGAGAGCCGAGCTGGCGCCTAGCGAGCCACACGTCGGGGCTATTCGGCCCGCCGGGGTGAGAGCCGAGCTGGCGCCGAACTTGAGCGGGATAGACGACCGGGTGCACAATAAATGCATCGCACAACTGTCGGCGAGATTACACGGAACGGCTGCTAATGCGGCGTTCGCTTTGTCATGGGTCGTGGACCTCAGCCGCGGCCGCATTTTCCGCCGGAAGCACGCCGCTGTCGCTGACAAACACGGACGCCCGTCCGTTGCCTCGTGGAATGTCCGGCCGCGCGGGGGGCGGCCCGGTCCCGAACAGCGTCGGAGGTGAAGGGGGGTGGACGCCGGAGACGGTGGTCTGTCGACTCGCTGGGGAGGGGGGGGGGCGTCGTGCCGACGAGCTGCAGTCTTGGTGCTGTGGCCTCACGTTGTTCGTAGTGCCCGCAGGCGGTACCGTGTGGATAGGTCGCTGCCACCTGTGTTGTCTCCGGAAGCTGCAGGCACCGCCCCGGCTTACAGTGTGGCTGTCGGATTCGCTTGGTTTCCTGCCGGACCAAGCTTGGCAGAGGGTCGTTTGGCCGCGCCAAATCCGCGGCCGTTTGTCGTTTTTTCCACTCGCGTGCGACTTCGTGCACCCACTCCACAGCATACATCACGGCTCACTGGAATGAGCAGTTTCTCTATTGCAAACATTCCGGGAAGAACGCTATCGTGGTTTGGATTTTATCAGGTCTGTATCCGTAACTGTGAAGGACAACGACGGAGATATTCGGTTAGCCTGAAAGTGAGCTGCACGTTTGTGTGGGATTTTGAACTGAGATAGCTCTCTTGAAGATCATCCGGTGCAGCCCTGCCCTCCCTGAGACCTAAAATACCTCTCCTTTTCTGAGTTACACACCCGCGGAGATGTGCAGACTATTTCAAGCATGCTTTTTCCAGGTAATCCAGGCGTCCATGACGTTAGAACGTCATTAAAATTTTGGCTTTCCACTGGCCATGCGACGTTTAACGCCAAGAAAATATATAATTGGCGTTCGTGAGTACGATTTCCAGATATAACGACCGCCAATAGGCTCTCAACCACTGTTGAGAGGCTGTGCAAGATTCTAACACGAACTGGGTTTTTTTTTGCTGATAAATGTAAGTAGCTATGCCTTTTCCCCAGTTATTACGGAAATCAGAGAAGTAATCGAACGACTTCAGAATAGCGCCATGACCGAGTGTGCGAATTTAAGTAAGCACCATAAACCTACGGATTGATATGCAAGAACACTACGAGAAAGGGCCGAAACGCAAGCGCCTAAGTATCTTTGGTTCAGCACATCCAACACAGCCGTGGTCATCTCTCGGTGGATTAAGGAACTGCAAGCGAGTGCTGTCATAAAAATGTCCTATAGCGCAATAAAACAGTGACATATTGAGAAGCATCTTTACTTAAAAGAGATACTTTTTGCCCAGAGTGGTCATTTATACTAAAAGTATACCAATGCAAGTGCGCTTATTTAATCATATCTGATGCCTGCTTCAACATTTTCAATTGTGAAACATTCCTTTAAAGGAATGCATTTTGCCGGTTTTTTATCGTAAGTGAAAACTGTCGTTATGGCTCCCGTGAAATCATTGGAATTGGGAATGGTTATGAAACATTTGAAGCATAAATCATACTCGGGTGGAAAGATCGGGCAAGAGAGCATCATGCCACCAGGTGCTTTAGAGCGTAAAATGTACGCAATAGGCGTCAGTCTTACAATCATCGAAATGTAGCCTAGTGACTTCATTTATCTGTGGTCAATCTTGGAACCACGACACATCCGATCAGTAAGCTGCATTCGGCTCACCACTCATGACTCACATTATTCTTACCAAAATAATGCCGGCCGCCAAACGCGTGTTTTGTGGAGTCTTGTCGGCCAGCCGGGTGTGCTCTGTGGAGTCTTGTCGGCCAGCCGGGTGTGCTCTGTGGAGTCTTGTCGGCCAGCCGGGTGTGCTCTGTGGAGTCTTGTCGGCCAGCCGGGTGTGCTCTGTGGAGCCTTGTTGGCCAGCCGGGTGTGCTCTGTGGAGTCTTGTTGGCCAGCCGGGTGTGCCGCTTCCATGCAGCATCTCCTTGGCCGCATCAGGAAATCATGCGCACCAGGGCATACCGCTTCCGACCGCTCTTCGAAGCGCACCAGAACCTGCCTGAACGAACTTTGTAATTGCCACGCGAGGCCCGTACAACACGTTGGCGATATTTAATAACGCAGCTGCCATTGCAGCGAGCCATTGGAGACGGAGACGGCTTCCTGGTGGCACCGGTGGTTCAGCTTCAGATCAGTCCGTGATTGGACGTCGCCGTTAGAGACGGAGACGGCTTCCTGGTGGCACCGGTGGTTCAGCTTCAGATCAGTCCGTGATTGGACGTCGCCGTTAGAGACGGAGACGGCTTTCTGGTCGCACCGGTGGTTCAGCTTCAGATCAGTCCGTGATTGGACGTCGCCGTTAGAGACGGAGACGGCTTCCTGGTGGCACCGGTGGTTCAGCTTCAGATCAGTCCGTGATTGGACGTCGCCGTTAGAGACGGAGACGGCTTCCTGGTGGCACCGGTGGTTCAGCTTCAGATCAGTCCGTGATTGGACGCCGCCGTCCGCCCTTTTCCTAGGGTCAGCGGAGCAGAGTCCAGTTCCATGGGGTGCTCCAGAATGCCAAACCCAATCGCTGTGAACCGAAGCGCTCGAGGTAGATAAAGGTTGCCGAGTCGAAAGCGAGGGCTGGCGTGAAATGCCACCGGCGCGCTGACCGTCCTAAATCATGGTCTGCGGCGGGTAAGCCACTATCTGCGCCAGTTGGTTCTGCCGAAAAGCGCAATAAATTGTGGGTTTATGGTTAAGCGCTGAAATATGGGACCACAAGCCTGACCATGGCATCAGAACAAGTCTCTGCGCTGATTATTATAATTTTATCGCTTAATGTTGTGATGGATACTGAATCATTGCACCGGCTATGCTGGCCAGCCGGTCATGTGATCCTACGTAGTTTGCGGTGGTGGTGGGTTAGACGACGTATTGCGACTAACATGACGCACAGAGATGTCGCGCACCGTGGTTTTCGCGGATTGCCTTGTGCTCCGTGACGTGAAAACTCTGCAAAAACTCCATTTTTCACCTAATGGGCCGGGCGGGGTGACCTACGTGGAAGGGGTGGGGTGAGCGCGGAGAGGCACACGAGGTCACTAGAGATGTCGCTTCTGGAAAAGGCAGAGGTGAGTGGCGCACCACTTGTCTCGACAGTCTGCATCACTGCTGATTTGGTCTGCCCATTTGCGTGTGTTACTTATTGGGTGGCGAAGGGTCGACTACAAACTGGAGCTAATGCGGAATCAGCTCCGCCCGCAGCACAGGCTGCGAATCTCAGTAATGGCGGGCCCTGTTCTACTGGCCTCCAATAACAAGATACCGAAATGGCTGGAAATGAACAAGATTGGAGCGTCTTTATGGGTGCTAACTTAATAAGCTTCTTTGCAATATCTGGCCTGCTATTCCCATTCATGGCCGTCAACACTACTTGTTGTTGCCGAACACAGCCTAGTCCGGCTGACCCTGTAGCTTCATGTACGTCCACGCCACACTTATGCAGGGTGCACGCGGCGTAAGTTGCATAACCGCGTTTGTAGTATCCACGACTAGGGTTGCCATAGTGACGCCCAGCGGCCGCAGCGCCACCGGTCATCGAGCTCGGGGAGAGGGCGGGACGCCACCGCATGCTTTTGCAGCCGCGCCTACGACACACGGCCCTGTGCGGATGCGAGTGTGAACACGGCTCGCTGCCCGACGCTGCTGCGCGTGCCACTACGCCGCGCCACGCTGCAGCGGGCGCCGCCCTTGACGCCGTGCCGTCCCGTGCCGTCGCAGGTATGACTACGACACGCTGCTGCAGAACTCCACCTTCTGCCTGGTACCGCGCGGTCGGCGCGTTGGCTCCTTCCGCTTCCTGGAGGTGCTGCAGGCCGGCTGTGTTCCGGTGCTGCTCGCCAACGGCTGGAGGTCAGTTACCCGCGCCACGCGTCCTCGCTGCTGGCCAGGTGCCGCTGCCACGTGCGCCCGCCAACGCGAGCAGCCGCCCACGCGCGCTTCTGCCCGGCGACGCGGTGTGGCTCCGTTATGTATGGGTGCGTGGGCAAGTGACGTCATCCATAAGCGTGTCGTAAACGAGAGTGGTGAGTGGTGCTTGCGCCTATACGAGACGGACATGTAACGGCATGCGGTGAGGTTGGCACTGATTCGACATGCGTGGTATGTCTTGCTACCCGCAGAGTGTCCTTTTTTAATGCCGGTCTTTGTTGTGCAGGATGCTGCTCTGTGCAAGGATCATGGCACGTACTTGATCCCAATCTGGCGAGACGTGCCTGTTACACATGTGTGTAGATGAGCTGTTTACGGCGTTGACTGCTGGCGATGGCCGCGGTCTGGCCCTGCGTACGTCATGGCGTCTGCCCGCCATGTACCACTGTCGCCCGCCCGTCCGCCCGTCCGTGCGCCGCTCACCTCGGCGCCCACTGACCGTCCGCCGGCCGGCCGGCAGGCTGCCGTTCGATGACGTCATCGACTGGCGCCGAGCGGCCGTCTGGGGGGACGAGCGGCTGCTGCTGCAGACCACCGAGACGGTCCGCTCGCTCGACGCCGACCGCCTCCTCCAGCTGCGCCAGAACACGCAGCACCTCTGGAACGCCTATTTCAGCTCGGTGGAGCGTATCGTCCTGACTACCCTGCGGGTAAATAGCGCTTTTAACCTGCTGACTTTGTTCTTTGTGGACTTTTTAACTGGCGTGGGTTTTAAACCACCACGCGGAGTTGGCGCCAGTGAGCTCACCGCGATAAACTGTAGATCGTTGCGTGGTGCAGGCAGCGGGGTGCTGAGCATAGACATATGCAAATCACACTGTATTTCCCCACACAATCAAGTAACTCTGCCGCGAAATTGCGATATGACTAAGCTCACTCGACGCTCCGCAGCTGCGGGCGCCGAGCAATGCCACAACTGAGACATCACTGTTATTGCCCGCGAGGCGTTTTAGTGTGGTACGCGTCGCATCCCTGCTACAAATGAACGCAATGAACGGACGCAACGTCAAGCGGTATGATCCGCAGCGTATCGTGCAACTTGCCAATGAACATTCGATGGATTTATTATTGATGCTTAGATTCGCTTCCTGCCTGGTGATTTATCGCCGTTTTGTTGTGAGCTTGTTTTTCATCACTGACTGTAAGTGTGTCTTGCCGTCGTGATGGGCGATCGAGCGTGTCTTGCCACGGGAGTGAGCGAGCGAACGTGTCTGGCCACTGGAGTGAGCGAGCGAACGATATGGTCCGAAGGTCCGTATGGTCCGTACATCCCGCAACGTTCATACACGTGTCGTGCCGGACACGTCCCAGCTGAATGTAGCACGCAACGACGCGCGCGGGCCAGACGGCTCAACCGTGGCGGGCTGACTTGGACGTCCACGGACGCGCGCGGGCCAGGCGGCTCAGCCGTGGCGGGCTGACTTGGACGTCCACGGACGCGCGCGGGCCAGACGGCTCAGCCGTGGCGGGCTGACTTGGACGTCCACGGACGCGCGCGGGCCAGACGGCTCCGTCGTGACGGGCTGACTTGGACGTCCACGGACGCGCGCGGGCCAGACGGCCCAACCGCGACGAGCTGACTTGGACGTCCACGGACGCGCGCGGGCCAGACGGCCCAGCCATGGCGGGCTGACTTGGACGTTCACGGCGCCCACGTCCTGTCGTCTGACAGTTTCAGTACTAACGCTCCCCAGACAGCCGCCCGGCCGCGGCATCGTGGTGGGGCGGCGGCATTGTTCTCGGGCGAGAATAAACGGTGGCGGTGTCCCCAGAAAGGACTCAAAGACTGCGTGGCGGCGCCGCTAATGATTTTCTGTGAGGTCTTCCGCCGCGGCATTTAGGACCGCTTCGTTGGTTTCTAAACCAGCCAAGCGAGTGTCTCGTAGTAGAATAGAGGCCCGCCCACATGCCCGTCCACGGCCCGGCCCGAGCTGTGTGTAACACAGTTCCTGGAGGCAAATACTTGTATGGAATCCACGAATGTGGACATTTGCATGGTTACCGACTCTGGCAAGTTTGGAAACGTGCGAATTAGCATATAAATGGCTGTCGTCATTTTTGCCTAACTTTCCTAACCCAAAGTTGAAAACAGTTTTCATCGCCGATCTGAAATATGCAGGGCTGCGATGCGTGGTATTTTGTTGGATTGTGTGGCAACTAATAACGCGATTCTTCCGCTACATCAAACAAGTGGGTTCCGCTCGACGTATGAAGCGTGCTGCCTGAGAATGGCAAAAACAGCAGGCATGGCTAGTCCTCGGAACATGAAGTTTCCTGCTGATAAAACTGCTTAGGCTCATGATTGAACCGGTATGTTTCCACTGACACTTGAGTTGTTGTTACAGGTGATTCACCACCGCCCCCAATTGCTCCTATTGAGCTGTCTCTGTTTGCATTTGACTCACTCGTGTCTGACGCTCTCCAGATAATCGAGTCTCGAGTGCACACCCACCTGGCCTCCCCCGGCACGGTGTGGATGAACTCGCCCGGCTCGCTGTTCCACCTGCCGACGCCGTCCGGCTCCCTGCGCGACGTACCGCTGTACCGAGCGCCGGCGGACCTGGTGCCGCGCGACAACTTTACCGCCGTCATCCTCTGTCAGCACGGCTCGCCTGCGCCGCTCTACCGGCTGATCAAGCAGGTGCGGTGGACCGGCCCCGGCCCCAGCCCCGGCCCCAGCCCCGGCCCCGGCCCCGGCCCCGGCCCCGGCCCCAGCCCCAGCCCCAGCCCCAGCCCCGGCTCCGGCTCCGGCTCCGGCTCCGGCTCCGGCTCCGGCTCCGGCTCCGGCTCCGGCCCTGGCCCCGGCTCCGGTCCCGGTCCCGGTCCCGGTCCCGGTCCCGCCCCGGTCCCGGCTCCGACCCCGGCCCTGGCCCCGGCCGCGGCCTCGGTTCCAGCCCCGGGCGCGCCTCCTGTCAGCCGGCGCCCGCAGGAGACGCCCGCAACCCGGACGGCGACCCCCGTACGGGGCGAGCGGGCGGGGCTCCTGTCCAGAGCCGGCAGGCGCGTCCGTGCGCGCGGCGTCGGCCACAGGGCGTCGACTGGAGGCTGGACGTCTGGGTGGCGCCGGGCCAGACCGGCGTCTGTGCGCTGGCAGCGTACAGACGCCAGGCCTTCTTGTCTGACGCACCCTGTTTCGGCAGGTCGTCGGGGCCATTGGCATTGCGTGGGCCGCCTGCCCGCTCTGATCGCGTGGCCTGCCCGTCTTGGTCCGGCGGTGCTGTGGTGGGAAATGAAGTTTCAAGGCCGTTTATTGGATGTTGTACTTCGCATTTCCCTCCGTTGACTGGTTGTCAGGCCTAAGTTTTCGCTTTGGCCTTACCATATCCTAACATATATATATATATATATATATATATATATATATATATATATATATATATATATATTGAAGTGAGGCTGCCCTGTGTGACTGCATAGATTTGCGAGGCGTGAGGCTGATGTGTGAAGCCCGGTCTGTCGGCTGTGACTGCGCCCCGTCCGCACCAGGTGGGCGCCAGCTCGTTCGTGTCGGGCGTGCTGCTGGTCTGGATCGCCGAGGCGGAGGCGCCGACGCCGCAGCGGCTGCCGCGGCTGGCCGTGCCGCTGCGCGTCATCACCCCCGAGCGGCGCACCATCTCCGCCCGGTCAGTCGGCGGTCGGACGCCCACGGCGCCGCCGGCGGCCGCCGCCCGATCCGGCCGGCCGTCGGCACGGCTTTGTGCCGCGGAAGGCGGGCAATAGCGCCGGCCAGTGGACGGCCGCGGCCACGTGGCCAATGAGTCAAGCCTTTTCTTGTGCGGCTCTCGGAAACCTCGAGTCGTATTCTAGGCCCCGCCGACCCCGACTCGTGTATCCCAGAATCCGGTCAAGGGCTTGGCTTGTCTCGCTCGTGGTGTCGAACAAAAAAGCTGTTTGAAAAAGACACTCAAATTTGGATATTCTCTGTCCCGAGTGCCAGTGTGGTGACGTGCTGCGACACCGGCCACGGTGTGCGATCTGCATGGCTTTCTGGGGTCATTTACGCCCCCCCCCCCCCAGTTGGTATAAAACCGTACCTAAGAAGAGCTCGGTTTGTACTTATGACTCGGTTTGTGCGTAAGCGAGGTACCTCAGACGTGACGGGAGCAGTTTGAAGTCCCACTCCAACTCCTGCCGACCGTTGAAGTCCCGCTCCAACTCACGCCGACCGTTGAAGTCCCACTCCAGCTCCCACCTACCGTTGAAGTCCCACCCCAACTCCCGCCGACCGTTGAAGTCCCGCTCCAACTCTCGTCGACCGTTGAAGTCGCGTTCCAACTCCTGCCGACCGTTGAAGTCCCGCTCCAACTCCCGCCGACCGTTGAAGTCCCGCTCCAACCCCCGCCGACCGTAACTCCCGCCTGTCGTTGAAGTCCCGCTCCAACTCCCGCCGACCGTTGAAGTCGCGCTCCAACTCCCGCCGACCGTTGAAGTCGCGCTCCAACTCCCACCGACCGTTGAAGTCCTGCTCCAACTCCCGCCGACCGTAACTCCCGCCTGCCGTTGAAGCCCCGCTCCAACTCCCGCCGACTGTAACTCCCGCCGACCGTTGAAGTCCCGCTCCAACTCCCGCCGACCGTTGAAGACGCGCTCCAACTCCCGCTGACCGTCGAAGTCCCGCTCCAACTCCCGCCGACCGTTGAAGACGCGCTCCAACTCCCGCTGACCGTTGAAGTCCCGCTCCAACTCCCGCCGACCGTAACTCCCGCCTGCCGTTGAAGTCCCGCTCCAACTCCCGCCGACCGTAACTCCCGCCGACCGTTGAAGTCCCGCTCCAACTCCCGCCTACCGTTGAAGTCCCGCTCCAACTCCCGCCGACCGTTGCCGGTGTGATCGAACTCGGCCAGAAATGGAGAGCCCTGAGGAGGTCATCGAACGCCTGAGGAGTCGGATCTCCGTTAATCGTAACGAAATCACGGGGTTAAGACGTGAACGAGGGAGGCGCATCTCGGACCGGGTGCATTGATTCAGCGCTACTTCATCAGAGCGTGATTTACTGCTACGGCAGTTGTTGTGCAAGGTGAAAGCCGCCCAATATAACCGTTGATTACACCCTGTCAAGCTTGCTCGGGCTGTAGGTCCACCCCGGGAGCTCTGGTCGGGCCGAACATCGATGAGCCGATCTGGCACGGAACGTCACAATAACCCATCGCACAGATTGTCATCATGCTGGACTGATGAGTGTGTCGCGCACCGGCCGGTCTGTCGTGGAATGTTCCGACCAGCGCCGGCTGCTCCAGATTCGTCCCGGCGCCCCAGATCCACACGGACGCCGTGCTCTCGCTGGACGAGGACGTGACCCTCATCACAGACGAGCTGGACTTCCTCTATCAGGTACGGTGCAACTGCCGCGCGAACTGTAGCAGGTGAAGTTGCCGTCCGGGTGTGGCTTGCATGAAGAAAAAGTCATGTAAAGTAAGTCACGGTTCCAGTGTGAAAATGTGACTTAGAAGTCTGCTTTGTTAAAGACTGCATAATGTGTATGACTTTAAGCATCATGTGCGTTTTGTATTGCGAGTTACGTCACTGCCTTGTAAAGACTCCATACGGTCATTAAGCACCATGGACGTTTTGTGCCGCCGTTTTCGTGACAAAAGGTGAGAACGTCTAACATTGGACCAGTGGTACGGGGTTCGGAGTCGGGCGCTGACCACAGGCAGCACGGCTCAGTTGGCCTCGCGAAGGCATGGAGCCTGTGCCACCACCAACCACCTGTGCGCGGCTGCAGGGCCCGGCCACCGCACAGCGCCACGGCGGCCATCGGTCGGCGGCCATCGGTCCATCGGCCACGGCGGTCCTCGGCGGCCATCGCTGGGCCTGCGTCTGGGGCCCGTGTTCCATGGCGGTGCCCCGCTGCGGCTCAGAAGTGACTGCGGGACGTGGGGTGCAGGTCGCGTCTGGGGCCCGTGTTCCCATGGCGGTGCTCCGCTGCGGCTCAGAAGTGACTGCGGGGCGTGGGGTGCAGGTCGCGTCTGGGGCCCGTGTTCCCATGGCGGTGCTCCGCTGCGGCTCAGAAGTGACTGCGGGGCGTGGGGTGCAGGTCGCGTCTGGGGCCCGTGTTCCCATGGCGGTGCTCCGCTGCGGCTCAGAAGTGACTGCGGGGCGTGGGGTGCAGGTCGCGTCTGGGGCCCGTGTTCCCATGGCGGTGCCCCGCTGCGGCTCAGAAGTGACTGCGGGGCGTGGGGTGCAGGTCGCGTCTGGGGCCCGTGTTCCCATGGCGGTGCCCCGCTGCGGCTCAGAAGTGACTGCGAGACGTGGGGTGCAGGTCTGCCGCCTGTATGCCCTTCAGAGGCTCTGCTGCTCGTGATATTGCACATGTCTTCGATAATATTACTTTCGTTTCGTCATAATTTGACTGCCGGGGGTTTCCGCACGTCGCGTTATGTTTCCCGCTGCGGATGGGCCATCGGGCGGAGATCGTCGGCCCAATGAGTCGGTCAGCTGCGACGTTCGTCCCCTGATTTCGCCCGAGGCGTACGCCGCCGACGTCGCGGCATTTCAATTTGGCCCGATCCGCATGACTGACCGCGTCTTAAATTGTGGCCAGCTGTCACGGCCGCCGGCCGCCCTGCTCCGTGGCGCTGTGCGGTGGGTCCTCGCTCCGTGGCGCTGTGCGGTGGGTCCTCGTGATCGGCCGGACGGGGCGGCAGGGGGCCGAGGCCCGGCCAGGCCTCGGCCAGGCCCCGGAGCAGCTGCCCTGCTCCGTGGCGCTGTGCGGTGGGTCCTCGTGATCCGCCGGGCGGGGCGGCAGGGGGCCGAGGCCCGGCCAGGCCCCGGAGCAGCTGCCCTGCTCCGTGGCGCTGTGCGGTGGGTCCTCGTGATCGGCCGGACGGGGCGGCAGGGGGCCGAGGCCCGGCCAGGCTCCGGAGCAGCTGCCCTGCTCCGTGGCGCTGTGCGGTGGGTCCTCGTGATCGGCCGGGCGGGGCGGCAGGGGGCCGAGGCCCGGCCAGGCCTCGGCCAGGCCCCGGCCGCCGGCCGCCATGCTCCGTGGCGCTGTGCGGTGGGTCCTCGTGATCGGCCGGGCGGGGCGGCAGGGGGCCGAGGCCCGGCCAGGCCTCGGCCAGGCCCCGGCCAGAGGTCCGCCGAGGTCCGCCGGCTGACGGACGCTCTGGCGGCGACGGTCTGGACACGTGGTCTGGACCAGGACGCCGCTCCGGCACCAGGCGCTCCGCCAGATGGTCCGCCACGTGTCAAGTGTCAGGCGGAGGCCGGGAGCCATAGCTGCGGGCGTTTGCGCCTTGGCGTCTGAGCTACGAGGGCTATACTTTATGCGGCGGAGTATTCCAATAAGCTCAGAACTCGGCGATGTGGCGCGCGAGCGGCGAGTGTCACATACGACCGAGCGGTAGTGAACGGCGGGGTCGGCGCTCATTTGGCCGCCCTGCGCCAAATCGCTGGCAGCTGCACACGCGACGCGCCGAGCAGGCGACAAACTGCGCGCAGCGATCGGTCGACCAGGGCACTTACGGTGCTGCTCTTAGTGTCATGGATTCTGTGTTCTATTTCTGTAGTTATTTCTCTGTCTGCTTCCGGGCACTGGCGAGCGGCCCAGCGCTCGCCCACATTCCGTGGAGATTGGGCTGGCTGGACGCAGACACGTGCGACGCTCTAGTCGTGTTATTGGCACGTGCGCAACAGCCTTGGCCCGGGCAGACCCGGTTGTGTATTTCGAAAGCATTTAGGACGACAAGGTGGATGGCGTTCAGAACAAGTTTTGACAGGGCACGAAATAGCTTTGCTGCCAGGATAACCTTCTGCCTCTCTGAATTTGAGCAAGTGTCGGATCTGAGACATATGTGGTTGGCCGATATCCTCCGGCGCGTTGTGCAGGCATTACGCTCTCAGTCTGCCTCGTCAGGTACTGAAGTGGGGCGAGTCCGAGGGCATGACCGATATGTTCCACACGCCACCGCGTTCCGCGCGAGCATGGAGCCCGACAGGACGGGAGACTGGCCGTGCCAAAATCTCGCACCAGAGCAGGGTGGCGCGATGCCTGTGTGCGTGCTCCTGCCGCCTACAGGCCACCGCCCCCCCCCCCCCTCCCCGGCATGTCCTGCTCGTCTGCGTTTTCAGTACGTCATACTGTTTTCGCCCAGAAAGCTCTGGGTAAGTATGTTTTCTGATTACCGGTTGTGGTGTTCAAGGAACCGCTTTTGTATGTGAGTGTGTGCGTGTGTGTGTGTCGCCTTTTGGTTGAGGTGAATCATACAAATCGACGAAAGCCATCATACTATTCTAAATAAGCATTGTTCAGGCGGATGAAGCGCAGGATGGATGCATTACGATGGCGAAATTGGTGCTCGAGGAAGCTCGCAGTCTGACAGTGTTTATAAATGACCATATCAGCTATCAGGCCATAGGTCATGGCGCCAACGGCGGCATCACTAGTGGTCTTCGAACTTTGAGTGGAATGCTGTAAGGCATGTTGCCTTAGACGTCCGTTAAGTTCAGGGTGCGCTTAATCGACTTGTCTTACCCTTCAACTGAGTCAAAGTTGTGACTGAACGTTGGCGTTGTCGTGTGATGCGTCGATGCGTCGGGAACGCGGCGGCCTCAGGCGCCGCTATCTCGCCGGGACCGAGGCCAACGAGATGATATTCGAGATCATCGCTTGCGGCTTCGCCTCCTACCAAGACAGAAGGCCTTATTGAAAAAGTTCACGTTTCCGGAAAATACTCTTCGAAGCACTGAGCGTGCGGTCGATACGGCGCCGGCGTAAGACGTCGACGGATGGCGGAGGGGCGGCCGACTCCCTCCGCCGTTGTGCGGACAGTCCGGTCTTACTACCGCCGGTGGACATCTGTTGAGGTGGCTGCCTAATGTGCATCGCTAGAGACGCGGCCTGTGATCCCGCCCTCATCTGTGCGCGGCGCCAGAGAGGCGGCCTGTAACTCCGCCTCTGTCTCTGTGCGGTGCCAGAGACACGACCTGTGATCCCGCCCCTATCTGTGCGCGGCGCCAGAGAGGCGGCCTGTGACTCCGCCTCTGTCTGCGTGCGGCGCCAGAGAGGCGGCCTGTGACTCCGCCTCTGTCTGTGCACGGCGCCAGAGACACGGCCTGTGATCCCGCCCCTATCTGTGCGCGGCGCCGGAGAGGCGGCCTGTGACTCCGCCTCTGTCTGCGTGCGGCGCCAGAGAGGCGGACTGTGACTCCGCCTCTGTCTGTGCGCGGCGCCAGAGAGGTGGCCTGTGACTCCGCCTCTGTCTGTGCGCGGCGCCAGAGAGGCGACCTGTGACACCGCCTCTGTCTGCGTGCGGCGCCAGAGAGGCGGCCCGTGACTCCGCCTCAGTCTGTGCGCAGCGCCAGAGACGCGGCCTGCGACGTTGGCCCGGTTTGTGCCCGATTAGGGACGCGGCCTGCCGCCTAAAGTGAACGGCAGGAACGGAGCACGCCAGTGACGCCTGCCGGGTCTGTGTTCGCCAGGTGTGGCGGACGTTCCCCGAGCGGATCGTGGGCTTCCCGGCCCGCTCGCACTACTGGGATGACGCCAAGGTGAGTTAGGGCTTCACTGGTGTGCCGACTAACACCCTGTGTGTTGAAGTCTTTGGAGAGAGATTAACAAGAAAACCACTGGTCATATGAGGTGTATATTTGACAGGAATTTGGCTCGAAGAGTTTACTGTTCGTAAGAGGTAATGGAATGGGATGGGATGGGGTGGGACCACCCTTGGTCGTGTGCAGGTCCACAAGTGTAGCTGCGTTTTTCAGTTCTAACCCGAAGTGTAGCGTTCGGTTTGCCGAAACGTCGGCGCGTTCCGTGTACTTGCCGGATGATAAGTCTGATCGAAGACGGTGCTTATCTCTCACTGCAGTCACTTGGCTGGCGTGCTAATGACCATAGTAACCGTCGCAGCATTCAGACTGCAGTGATGGAAAGTGGCTGCAGCCTGTAATCGAGTGGGGATTAAACTATGTGACATTAATTCGTTTGGAAGATTGATTGTGACCCGTCTCAGTAAGCTTCTGCTGGCTCCATTTCTATGACAGCGTGGGAACGGAAGTGACCGAAGCAATTGCATGCCTCGCTAAATGACATTGACGAGAAATCTACCTTTGGACGCCTCATCTGCGAGCACAGGCATTGTGCTGTGTCGGCTTTGTTCGACAACAGTTGCGGGTCCAGTCCGTACCTCCCAGGCTGTTAAAGGCACCATGCGTGCCAGGCCCATAGATGAGAACTGGCACAAAGGACAAGGGAAGACGTGGACGTTTGACAGCAACCCTGTGGTGGGGGCACGAAAAGAATTGACTCGAAATCGGGTGCCCTGCCCGCCTGCCTTACCTCACGTTCCATCACCTACGTCCCTCGAGCTTTAGTCATATGTTTAGATGACAGGCCGCTTCCCCCCCCCCCCGACCTTCAGCGCCCCTGTACCTGACATGTGCCGCCGAACGTGACTGTAACCTGGCCAACCCCCGGCTGTCCAGGGCACGTGGGGCTACACGTCCAAGTGGCTCAACGACTACTCGATGGTGCTGACGTCGGCGGCGATGTACCACCGCTACTACCACCGGCTCTACAACGACTGGGCCTCGGACGTGCTGCACAAGACGGTGAACCAGGCGCACAACTGCGAGGTACGTCGACGGCCGGCGGCCGGTGGGCTGCGGTTCAGCGCCAGGCGAGGAACGAGATGGTCCATAACTCTATCCGTTTCACCATGACGTGAGCTTTGGTGCGCCGATTTTATCGCAGCAATGGCGGTCATTTCCAGACTTGGAAAATGATGGGAAACCCGTTAATGTGGGATGTTTTCTCTGCGGCGTTACCACGTCCGTCGGTCGCTCTATTCGGACCTCCAACGGCATGAGTTGCTCGAGCAGCGTGGAGTTGGTGGCAGTCAGCACGTCGCGCAGTTGCATGCGTCCAGGTCGTTACGCGGCGAGCAGTGAGTGATGAGCAATAAGGCGGTTGGCTCTGGCATACAGCTATGCCGATGCGCAGTATTTGCGTCTGTCCCCTGGCTGAATCAGGTCAGATTAGGCCCTCTCGGCGCACTGGAGGTCCTCGAGGCGTTCAGGCTCGCGCAGTCACCGCCGGCCTCCCGTTCCAGGATATTCTGATGAACTTCATAGTCAGCCACACCACCAGGCGGCCGCCCATCAAGGTGACGCAGAGGAAGGGGTATAAGGAGACGACCGGCGGTCAGATGAGGTGAGTTAGGACAGAGCGAGACCGGCGGCGCCCCGCGTCGCTCGCGCTCAGGATGGGTGCGAGCAGCTGCTGCCGGATAGCACATGTCATGCGCTCTCAGGCGTTGGCTGTTCGCGTGCAGACATTTTGTCGGAAACAAACGTTTGGAATGGCACACGTAGATGTTGGGGCACGTACCGACCACAGCCATGCGATTCGTTGACGTTCGCTGTCACTTTCGCGTGCTTTTTGTTGAACGTCGAGCTTGCAGTAGGCGTAGACGCAGGGAGCGTCGGCTGGCTTTGTGCGTGCGTGGGCCGGGCCGTTGTGTGCGCTGTATCGAGATTGGTCTCCGATGGTCTGATTGGCTCACTGGCACGTGGTGCCGCGCTCCTGCATCACCGAACTGGTCCAGAGCGCATCCGCCTGCCTACAGTCTCCGCCTCAGACGGACTGTTGCTCGTAAAGGTACAACCAGTGGCAACACGCGTTCCTCCGACGGCATGATCTCGTGACGCACCGCCGCGCCCTCTTGCGGCGCGCCAGAGCCGCGCCCCGTCCTCCACGCAGTTCTGGGCGTCGTGAATGGAGCCCGGTCGCCGGTGCCCAATGCCCCGCTACCCCTGGTTATGACCTGACGCTGTGCCGCCGACAGACCCCCGTGGAGCGACCAGGAGCACTTCCTGCAGCGCCACTCGTGCCTCAACACGTTCGCCGCCGTGTTCGGGTACATGCCGCTGCTGCGCTCGGCTGCTCGCCTCGACCCCGTGCTCTTCCGAGACCCGGTCGCCGTCTGGCGCAAGCGTTACAGTCGGCTGGAGAGCGCGCAGGCGCCGTAGCGGCGCCGGGCCGTGGCGGGCCTCGGCAAGGCCGCCGCCGGGACCGGGCGCCCCGGACCAGCGCCGCCCGCGGCCGTGGCCGACCTGCTCCGTCGTGGGGAGGAATGCTCAGGAGACCCCTGCGCTGACCTAGCCGATACGTCGGGAGCTTCGGGCCTGGTCAGCGCAGAGCGTTTTGATATATATGTTGTTTATACGTGTTACCAATACCTGCTGGTGCAGGAATGCAAACTGGTGACCCTTGATGTCGCCTTTAAAGGTGAATGCGGTGAAATCTGTGGGGTCTGAAATGAGAAGATCGCATGCTAATGTTGTGCATTTCAGTTCTGTTTATACTTCCAAGCTGGTATCGATCGCAGACCTTGCAATATCATTGTGCGGCCCTATGTGCCATATCCACTCCTACATATGCTTATAGTCATATCAGTGTGCCGCATCATAGATGAAAGTGTCCCATATCCTTGCCTACGTGGCTCATGCGCGTGTCACGGTTTGGACTCTCCGTTTTGTCGGCAGGAATCTAATCATTACCGTAGTTTGGTTTGCTCCCGAAGAACTTCGATTTCATCAATTACCTTTTAACTTCGGTTCATTTTTGGGGAGTGCTCAATATTTTTGTAAAGTTTTTGTTACCAGCGTTGTTTAATTTGATCGATTTGTATGCGTTGCAATCCATGCGAGCTTGGATCGAACGGCTCTGCGGTGCGGCGATGGTCCTATCAGCTGGTGGCTTCCTTCTGCCTCTTCAGCATGATTTTGTGGTTTGGACAGTGCCGATCTGACCTTTCACGCGGACTGTGCAATAGCATGCCCTTTGTGTGGAGCTGTTCAGATGCGAACGGTGTGGTTATCCGTGATCTACTTCGCTAGCGTCACCAGAGGTACCAAATTTTGCTGTTCTGCTGGTGTTGTGAAACGTCTGTAGTATTTTTAATTTCCCGCCAGGCGCCCAGGTATCGCTTTCATTGCGCCCGCTCTTCTCGCCGAGCTACGTTCGCAGACCACCGCGGGCCGTTTTCGATCCAGTGTCTGACCTGGCCTGTCCGGTCCCCACCGACCTTGGTACAACGTCGGTTGACCTGGGACGACAGGCCTCCGCACCGCTCCTCAGCCGCCTATGCTCGGACTATGTTCCCCGCCGCGGTCTCGTGGCCGCAGGCGCTCGCCACTGTCCCCACCGTCCGTGCAGGGTGTCGGGTGTTGCCGGCGCGCGTGTGCGTCTGTCTGTCTGTCCGTCTCCCTGCCTGTATGTGTGCTGCGCCGGGCACGTGTCGGCCAGGCTCGCCTTCCTCAGGCTGCGGAGCGGGGGCCGAGGGCAAGCCTGAGGGTCGTGACTAGTGTTGGCCGCCGGCCGGGCGTCCTGTGTTTTTTTACACGATGACAGCGGCCCCGTGAGGCGAGGGTCGGCTTATTCGAAGGCGTGACTGGCAGTCCGGCGCGACTGTTTTGTATTAAAGCGTCCGATCGTGGCACGCGAGCGTGGCGTGTCGGCTGGACGGATGTGCACAGAAGCGTCAAGGCTGTCGTAGAGGTCGGTGGCTGATCAGCCACGGATGAACGCGCACCATTTACAAACTCACCATGTAGATGGACAATCATTCCTGGACTAATAAATGAGTTAATTAATGTCAAGGCTCTTCGACGTATTTGTGAAGCGACTGAAGCGACTCGAACGTGAAACTGAAGCGGCTGAGCCAACCCCGCCACGGGTGGGTGGATCGAAGGGCAGACGCTGAAGTCAACTGAGGTATCCGGACTCGCTTCAGATGTGGTTTGTCGTAGTTCCATCACGTTGTAACACGCATGTAACATGTAACACGTGAGTGGCGTGTTACAACGTGATGGAGTTAAAATAAACCACACCTGAAGTGCGTCCGAGAACTCAGTTGGCTACATACGTAACCTAAAAGGACCTCTTGCATTGATGTCCCACCTTTTTCAAGCTCGGTAACATTTTTATTATTGGTCACGCAGACGCTGCGTACGCCAGCCGTCCGGAGGCGCCCGCAGGTGGCGCCACCAGACGGGTAAGGGGGCAACTGTCCCTTTCCGTTTGCCAAGCGGGCAACTGTACACCCCAATCCCATTTGCGCAATGTGAGGTACAATGCGCGGCAACCCATCCCTGAAGTCGTCAAACTTGGTCGTTCTCTCATCACGCTGCCCGCCAGTTCAACCACAGCTGAATGCAGTTTTGGTGCGCGACAGGAGCTGAAAACTTGTTCCGCTTGATGGTGACGCGAGGGAGGATCAACGCAGCAGCGGCGTGTCACGCACGTTGTCGTCGCCTGCATCAAGCAGATTCAGCTCATGCCGCGGTCGCTTTTGCCAGTGATTTTGATTTTGGTTTTTGTCCGGAATTTTGATGCTTTTACCGCCACCGTAAAAGATAACCAACTTTCTCTCTGTCCTTATTTTTCACTAAGCGAACTAAAGCGCTTTGGAATGGGACGTCCAAACCATATCGAGGCTGCGGAGTAGACAAGCATGAAATATAACACTGTGAGGTTTTCACAACGTACATACACACGTGTGTACATTGACACACTATATGGCCAATAGGTTTAGATGATAATATGCATTGTGCCGAGAGGACGCTACGGAACTGCGATAAGTAGGCGTCCTTCCACGTTGGGAGGGAGAGTGGATGATATCCGCCTGGGTTATTTCTTTCCAGCCATCGTAACGGGGTCCATGCTGAATTTTCAGAAAGTCGTGGCTCTCAGCCTCTGTTCCATCCCTAGTTCCCTGGCCCCCACGCCTTACGGCGTTGCAGCGCAAGGCTCATAAGAAATTTTCATGGCGATGATAATTTTCAAGAACGTCAGTTATCAAGTGAATTATTTCCCACCCATCTTTTCATTCAAGTTTTGTGGTGACCTTACGACCTCGATCACATCGTAACCACTAGCCAGGGGGAGACAGCTAGGGAGGTTTTCGATCAGCGTAGTCTGGGTGGGAGGAAAGCGACAAAAAATGGGCAACGCCATTTAGGTACGGGCCCCATATGTTAACACCTCGCGTCCTAACGTTCTGAAGTCCACACCCATACTGTTACTCACTGGCAAACCTTTTTCGATTCCGTTACCCAAGAACACGTAAGTAGGAGTGCACCTCTCTCAATCCCAGCGACGCAATAAACCGTGTGTTAACACCCGAAAGCGTAAAATCAAGTCGCGGCACTCCCAGATAGGAACAGGAAACAAACGTAAAGAAGCAGGCGAGGAGGTGATGCAGACCCGAAGAAATTGTGTTATGTAATAAGCAGGGAAAAATTATACGAGAGAAAGCTTAAAGTAGTCATCCAAAGTCAGCTAATGACAGCCCGCTATAACCGTCCAATAAGCTACAACCACTCATTTCACCATGTTAGTAAGGGTTTACAGTCACACAAGTTAGAGGGGCAATTACCTGGTCATTTTCGTGCTGGGTTTTGGCCTGGATGTCCGGGGAGTCCACCCAACTAAGCGGAGCTTGTTGCTGGAAGAACTGCAGGAGCCAGCGCCGTGAATTTGGGTACATGTGCATGACTTTAACTGTATCAGAAAGTGATTATGGAACATGAAAGAGGCTAAATACGGAGTGCGTTGCATATGTGCGGCGCAAAGGATTGCAATATCTTCAAATGTGTTGGTTACGTTAATATGCATTCACGAAATGCCTGCGGATGATGTCTTTAACGATGGTTTTTGATACAGAGATATTAGTCATTCTTGGAAAATATGAAACCATGATGTCGCTCCACAGCTTGCGGTCAGGGCAAGATATTGTAAATAGTCTAAAATTACGATTAAAGAAAGGTTGGTGTAAATGTTTTACTCGCCTCATATCCATCTCATCTGATTCGTAGTGCTTGTATATTAGATGGAATGATGCAGGGAGCTGTGAAGTTACAAATTTGTGCATCACAATAAACATTTGGGATTTAGCGATATCCGATAGTTTTAAAATTGTGCATCATTTGAGGATTAGCTCTGAGCTTTGTAGAGGATGCACATTTTCTATAAGACGCACAGCCATTTTTGCAAAATTACTAGCCGATCTAGTTGAGAAGCGTAATTTATGCCCAAATCAAGCAGCAGTAATTTAAATAAGAAAACAATTAAAGTGCTATAGAGTAGATGTGACGTTGCTTTATCAATGAAGTACTTAACCCTACTTATTATTCCAATATTTCTACTTACTATGCTTGCAACAAAATTAATGTGGCTTCAAAATTTAAGAGATTTGTTAATGAGTACACTAAGGTGTTTATTTCTTTTTTCTTCAGTAGGTAAATTATTAACTTGCACATTTAGTTGGAAATGCGAAGAAAGGATAGTGTAATGCTGTGTAAATGTTTTTGATGCGCTCAGGGGAAGAAAATTAGCAGGAAGTAATTACAAGCAAAAGCGTAATGACATTATTTTGAAGTTCAACAATGCTTTTATTTTTGAAAATGGTCGCAGTATCATCAGCGTAAGACAGGCAAATAATGTTGCTGCTTACTTTAGGCAAGTAATTTATGTACATTAAGGACAGAATTGGGCCGAGCATTGATCCTTGGGGTACCTCCTTTGTTACGTTTTTGATTGTTGATATGGCTCATATGGTTCATAGTGCAAACGTGTTCACCCGCGGCGGTGCGGCGCTCGCGTGCCGCTCCGCGGTCGACATGGCATGGACGCTTGGAACGGTAGAGAGGCGCCGTCCTTTGTGTGTCATGCAGGCCTCGGCTGTAGACGGCAAAAAGGTTCAGCTGATTCGGAGAACTCTCGCTAGATGGCAGGTGACGACCCTGCTGGCTCGGGAAGCCGAGGCCGGCCGCTGACCGATGGAAAGAGCTCCGAATCAGGTGTTCTAGGTGCCATAGCGGGGTGGTGCGCATGCGCAATGGAAATACTTCTATCAGTCCGGCGCACACCCTATGTAAGCCGTGGATCTTGGTCACTCAAGGCGCCCAGCACCGTGTCCACTCTGGGGTGGGCTCCTTGGGACGGGCCAAAGAGGGCGACACCCTGCGGCCTTTACGTGGGGAGGGGGGATTCATAACCATTCGGCCTTGATTACAGCTATTGATATAATATACATGTGCAGTGAACATATTTTTCCCTTCCTAGTGCGCTGTGTCGGGGTTGCTCTGCGGTGAACGCTAAGCGAACTCTCTCGGGTCCCGCACACGCATACCACGTGGCAGGCGGAGCAAGTGTGCATTAAGCTGAACCACGATGCATGGACGTGGCCACAAAGTGCAATTAGGCATTTCACGGTAAGGACTGGCGCGAAGCGCTGGCCAGCAACGCGAGATCTTTAAACCACGCCGCCCCTACTATGATAAATCTCGCGTTTGTGGCTAGCACTTCGCTGGAGTCCTCGCCACCAGATACCACGCTGCACTTGGTGGTCACATCTATACATCGTGGTTTAGTTTAATGCACACTTGCTCCGCCCGCCACACGGTATGCGCGTGCGGGCCCGGGAGAGTCCGTTTAGCGTTTACCGCAGAGCAACCCCGGCACAGCGCGCTAGGAAGGGGAAAATATGTTCACCGCAGAAGTATATTATATCACTGGCCGTGATCAAATTCCAATGGTTCTCCAGCCTAACTCGTTACTGGCCACATCCAAACACAGTCAATCACCCTGGAAATAGCCTGAACAAGGGATTAAAATCAATCGCATGTTTCATGCAAGTCAGATTTCCACGTGCAGTCATCTACAAACACACAAAGGACCCCCTCCTTCTCCCCCCGCAAAGGTCGCAAAGTCCCGCCCTCTTTGCCTCGCGCCAAAGAACCCATCCCAGAGAGGCCATGGTGTGGGGAGCCCCGAGTGGCCGAGATCCACGGATTGCATAGGGTTGCATACGGCCTCCCGAGACAAATCGGCCACCATCTGCCATCTAGCGAGAGTTCTCCAAATCAGCTGAACCTTGGTGCCGCTTACAGCCGAGGCCCGCGCCATACTCTCAAAGATGTCCGTGAGTTGACGGTTTATTCATCGATTTATTCAGCGGGGAGTTCCGGCTTTTCTGAGAAAAAATATCGATTTGAATTGCGGCACAAGAGCCTCGAAAATGGCCTTTGTATAATATTAAATGGCCTTTATATTTTAAGCAATATCATGTGGCCTTCGAGGCCAAAAGCTGGCTCAAAGGACAGGGAACTCAATATCACCCCAAAAATTACAGGTTGATTTGCAAGCTGCAAAAATCAAAATATTTACAATCGCAAGAGCTGGTGTTCGTTAAAAAACCCTCACTTATTAAGGTCACACTTCAAGGTCAAACGCGGGCTCAAAGAACGGGAACGCAATTTCACCCAAAACTTGCCGGCCTACTTTAAACTTGCAAGCGTCAGAATATCCACCACAGAAGGAACTAGCGTCCGTCAAAAGTCTCGTCCTTTTAAAAGTCCTACTTCAAGGTCAAATGCAGGCTCAAAGAACGGGGAACTCAATATGACCAAATCATTACCGGCCGATTTTAAGCTTCCAAGTGTCAGAATATTCACCACAGAAAGAACTAGCGTGCGTCAAAAAGTCCTGACCTTTCAAGGTGACCCTTCAAGGTTAAACACAGGCTCAAAGGACGGGGAGCTCCATGCCGCCCAAAAATTACCGCATAATTTTAAGCTTCCAAATGTCAGAATATTCACCACAGAAAGAGCTAACCTCAGTCAAAAAGCCCTGACCTCTCAACACCTTCTTTCAAGGTAAAACGTGGTCCAAAGGACGGGGAGCTCCGCATCACCTAAAAATTACCGGCCGATTTGAAAGCTAAAAGGAAACAAACATTTACAAGCAAGAGAACTAGCGTCAGTCAAAAAAGCCCCGACCTTGTAAGTTCGCCTTTTCAGGTCAAACCCGGGGTCGAAGGACGGGCAACTCAATATCACCAAAAAATTGATGGCCGATTTTACACTTGCCAGCACCAAAATACTCACATGTTCAAGAGCTAGCGCCCGTCAAAACGTCCAGACCTCTCAAGGCCATCCTTCAAAGTCAAAGGTAGGCTCAAACGACGGGAGAATTCAATATTACTTAAAAAAGTTGGCCCAGTTTTAAGTTGCAAATATCAGAATATTCTACACAGAAACGACGAGCGTTCGTCAAAAACTATTGAATTCGCAAGGTCACCCTTTAAGGTCAAACACAGGCTAAAGAAACGGGGAAAATCATATGACTCAATAATTACCGGCCGATTTCAAACCTGCAAACATCAGAATGTGCACCACAGAAGCAATTAGCGTCCGTCGAACTAGTTCCCGTTTGTGGAGGTCGCGTTTGGGATTGAAGGCTGACCTCGAGAGTTCAGGACTTTTTGACGGACGGTAGTTTTTTCTGCGTTAAATATTCTGATACTTGGAAGTTTTAAACCGGCCGGTAATATTTGAGTGATATGGAGTTTCCTGTTCTTTGAGACTGAGTTTGACTCTGAAGGATTACCTTGAGAGGTCAGGACTTTTTGACTGACGCTATTTTTTCTATGGTGAACACTCTTATGTTTGCAAGTTTATAATCCGCCAGTATTTTTTTGATGCTGTTGAATTCCTCGTCCTTTAGGCCCATGTTTGACCTTGAAAGGTGAGCTCAGAGGTCAGGACTTTTTAACGTACGCTAGCTCTTGCGCTTTTCAATATTTTGATGCTTCCAGTTTGCAAATCGGCCGATAATTTTTGTTGATATCAAGTTACTTGTACTTTGACTAAGCTTTTGACCTCGAAGGTGACATAACATTGCAAAATGTAAGCCAGTTTCGATGTTCTCAAGCCATAATTCACGTTGAGACCCTTTTCAGAGAAATCGGAACTCGTCGCCAAATAAATCGCTGAATAAATAGCCTCATCTACCATTCCAAGCGCCCGCACCATGTCGACCTTGGAACGGCGCGCGAACGCCGTTCCAATATTACGGCGTATTACGGGGTTTAAGACATTACATTCCGAACGTGACTTAATTCTATGCAGGGAACACCTTTAAGGGAACAACAGAAATCCTAACCCATGACTGGGGTCTAGTTTACTCCTTAGTATTGAATAGATCTAGTTGTTCTAGAATAGAATCATTGTTCTAGAATAGATTCGTTCCTCAGTTTCACGTCCGTATGGCCAAATACTTTCTCCAAGTTCTTGCCTATGATCTCTGGGGTGATTTCAGCACGCGCGCGCGAGCGTAGGACCCGTATAAGATGTTGTGACGCAGCGGGCTGTCACGTTTAGGCACCAGGCTGGGGGTAATCGTTTGCCCACCAGGGCTCTCACCCGTAACCCTGGATTCATACCTACCTTGGACTGTGTAGTTTTGCACGAACCTGCTGGATCGCAATTGCATAGGTGATTGATTCGGTGCTGTTTGTCTGCGGGTGGCGCGTATTGATTAGTCTGGGCGCGCCGTGGTTATCTGGAGCTACGCAGGAAGTAAGTGAAGCGCGGCGGTTTTACTTTTCTTAAACTTTGGTTTGGCGTAGGATGCCAGGCGTACCTGGGCATACCGTTGTTCAGAACTTCGCTGTTTACAATTAAGCGTTGATGCGTTAGAGTAGAATGCATTCGGAACTGGTAGCTGAAGTGCAGAGACCATTGTGCTTCGGAATAAAAGCACTTTGCTGACATCAAATCTGGTTTGGAACAACATATAAACAGTCAAACCTGATTGAGGCATCAATAAACATTGCTTGGTAGCAAACACAATGCCTTCTATGATTAAGGAGCAAAACCAATTGGGGGAAACAAGCATGGGTCAGTATGATCTTGGCATGCTTCAAGAAGCTAGCAATTCTGGTTTGGACAGCTTGGTGCTGGTGAAGGTGCACCTTACCTCATCAAGCACGGACTGTGATGTGCACATGCACATGTTTCCTGTGCCTCAAATGAGATCCTGCATCTCATTGTGTATATTTTTGTGTCTTATTAAGTGCTATTTAGCCTAATGACACTTAGGTCCTCTTGCTATCAGATAATAGTTGTGCCAAAAAAAAAAAAATGTGCAGTACTACATCTCACTCCAGCACAATGACATTTTTCTGTATTTATGGCATGCATATTAAATACATAAAGTATGCTTTCAAACTATTTTGGAACTTTTCCTTTGCATGCTTCAAGATCCATAACAAAAGTATGCATGCATTTGGCAAGTTTTGTTGTCATACCCATTTTGTACCCTTCAAAGTGTTGTTTATGGCAAGTAATCAAGCAAACCTTAATGTGAAAGTAGTATTCGACCTATGTTATAGTGTGTTTGTGGTGGAGAGTGCTATGATAAGCTATAATGTGAGGCTGTTTGCTGATAAAGTTTGCCATAACTCTTATGTGACAGAAAGACTAGCCTGATCAAAGAGTTTTGCAACAGAATTTCAGGGCAGTACAAATTGTGGTTCCTTATGTATCTTGACTGTGCCTTTGACTGTTAATTGTGATGGTCAAGTAACAGAAAAAGCACTGTATCTTTTGAAATGATGGTTAAGTTTGCTTTGGTCTCATGTCATGTATAAAATATTAGCTTCTTGCAATAATGCTGCCATACAATGCAGTACTATCACTGCTGCAGAGTTTGTGATGGAGACCAGCATGTACAGAAATGTTCTGGAAGAGGTATTCTATGAAAAAAATCAAATCATGGCTTGGGAGAAAGAAGCACAATATTGTATGGATGCAGCTAAATAAATGTGTTTAGTTGTCTCAATCCTTCTGATGTGATCTTGTGGTCATGTGCTGTAGCAGACAGGAGGCGCCTTGATGTTTTCTGGCAAGAGTTTTTTAACCACTTAGGATAGCCCCAAAATGTAATGGCTTGCCCTGACTGCTGCAAAATTTTAGAACAGGTGTTTTGCTTTTTGACTGTCTCTGAGGAAAGGTTAAGAGGCTATGTTCCAGTAGTTCCACATACTTTATAAATTTTAAAAGCTGGTCAAGTTAGCCAATACTTCATTTAAATTCTGGAATATTGGGCTTAAAGACCTGCCATAGAGATTCAAACCCCAGGGACCACTAGTTGAATTGTTTTAGATTAATTTTATAATTTCCTTGGCATTTCATTAAAATCCTATCCTGTTCTGTAATGAAACACCCATCTCTAAGGTTTCAAGGATAAGTAAGCTAAATTGTGAACTTCATACTTTGTTGAGTCCAGTGATTTCCATGCCAAAATGTGGTAACAGTCTGTTGGCCTCATGCAACAATGACTGTGCAGTACAGTGTGAGTGCGCCACAGTTGACCTTGACCGCAGTTGTCCGTGGTTTCTTCAGACTGGCCGGCCTGAGCTGAAGCGGCGTCGGCCGTGAACGCGGTTCGTCATGGCAACGGTGCGACGTCGCGCCGTGCTGGGCAGCCGGCCACCGTCAGCGGGCCTGCGCCACCCGTACAGCCGACCCGACCATCTGAGCCTGCTCAAGACAGACAGCTGGGCCGCCAGCACCAAGCCAGAGGAGTTCATCTACTACTCGGACAGTGACGAGGACCTGGACGGTGCCGACGCCGGCGAGAAGTACGACACCACCTCGCGCAGCTTTGTTGATTACCACGTGGCCCATCAGAGTGGGCTGGAGCACTTCAACCAGCTGAGCCTCAGCAAGGAGCATGCCACCAAGCACCTGCTCAGCTACAGCATGATGCGGGAGCGGACTATCCCCATGAACAATTACAACAAAGTGTTCTGCAGTGCCTGGCTCAGTGATAACCAGGTGGTGTTTGGAACCAAGTGCAATAAGGTATGACTTCATTAGGTTGGCATTACTTGAGTGTCTCAGCTGGTTACCTGTAGCTGCACCTGCACAGTACATTGTTGTCTTGTCCTTGGTTGAACAAGATTGTACATTGCTTGATGGCTTCTGCCTCTGCCCGACATTTATGCGATTGGGTCCCATATCCATCGTCATCCTTGGTGGCAGTGATGTTTTGCTGTGCTCAGTTTTGTTGCGTCTGGTGAGTTCTGACTGTGCTGGGAGTTTGCATTGCGCTGCCCTCTGCCAGTCCCTTGACTGCAGTGATGGCTTATGTCCAGCTTTGTAACGACCCTGTAGTGGCAGGATGGGTTTGTCGTGTTGTGTCCAAATCTGTTCCGACTCCAGGGGTCTCCTGAGTCCGAGATGGTGTGCCCCGTCCAGCCTCGTGCTGTAACGGCGCCGCGAGCCCGGCGAGTGCAGTGAGGATTGGTGCCCCTCTGTGTGCGGACCTCGTTGGTCCCGTGGCTGCCGTGAGGATGTCTTAGCCAGCTCTGAGCCGACCCTGCGAGCCTCCTGGCCGCATTGGAGGGGGAGGCTTGTGCCCCACTCTTTGTTACTTCCCCCCCCCCCCCCCATGAGCCCCTACCTATAGCGAGAGCATGTCGTGCCCCTCTGTGTGTACGGACTCCTCGAGTCCTGTGACTGCAATCACTGTGTGTCGTGTCTCTGTACTGGCACCGTTTGTCTGATGATTGCAGTGAGCGCTCGTAGTGCCCTATTGCACACCGGCCCCGCTGTCGGTGACTTCAGTGAGAGACTGCTATGCCCCACTCGGTCGTGCTGACCCTGTAAGTACCCTGATTGGAGTGTTTGTGCGTCGCGGCCCTCTGCTGCTCCGCCCTCCCCCCCCCCCCCCCCCTCCTCCCCTCATGAGTCTCACAGCCATAGCGAGAGCTTGCCGTAGCCCCGCTCCGTCTCACCCCTCGCCCCCGTCGGCCGCCCCGCCAGATCCTGGTGTACAACCTGCGGACGCGGCGGATAGACAACATCCCGATGTTGCTCTCCAACTCGCCGCTGCCCGAGATGGAGGTGACGGGTGGCGTGTACGCGCTCAGCCTGAACCCCTCGCGCACACTGATGGCCACCGGCGCGCGCAACTGCTGCGACCTGGCCGTCTACAAGCTGCCCACGCTCGACCCCGTCTGCGTGGGCGAGGTGAGCGCGGCGCCGGCGGCGGGGAGAGGGGCTGGCAGTTCGGGCGCCGACCAGTCCTGGCGAGCCCCGGCGGGCGGGCTCGAAGCCAGGCCAGGCAGGTGACTTGGTGAGGGCCGAGCTAGAGGGTACTCGCGGCGCCACTGGAGTCGGTGCCGGACAGGAGAAGGAACCGAAGACTTGATACCTGAGTGGATATGTGGGTGTTTGGGATTGACTGACAGGTGTTTATTAGGGTGATGTTTCCCATGAAATATGTTTGGTTGTTATGGCTGGCACAGTGAAACAGAATGAGTGGGCTGACAGGGAGTGTGTCGCCTTTGCAAACCATCAAAAACTTAGAAAGTTTCCTGGATGTGGTCATGCTATTTCCTTGTTTGAGAAAATGCTGATTGAGCTCTATGTCCGAGCCGGTGTGTAGCGGAGTGAGCCCGTGTGTGGCAGAGTGACCCTGCGTGTACCATAGTGACCCTGCGTGTGGCGGAGTGAGCCCGTGTGTGACTGAGCGACCCCGTATGTGGCATAGTGACCCTGCGTGTGGCTGAGTGACCCCATGTGTGGGTGAGTGACCCTGCGTATGTGGCTGAGTGAGCCCGCGTGTGGATGAGTGAGCCCGTGTGTGGCTGAATGACCCTTTGTGTAGCTGAGCGGCCCTGTGTGTGGCTGAGTGACCCCATGTGTGACTGAGTGACCATGTGTGTGGCTGAGCGACCCCGTGTGTGGCTGAGTGACCCTGTGTGTGGCTGAGTAAGCCCGTCTAGCGGGCGTCTTTTGCGGCGTGTGTGACTGACCACCTGCCGTCCCCTCGCCCGCAGAACGGTCACCGCGACTGGATCTACGACACGGCCTGGCTGGACGACCAGTACGTGGCCACGGGCGGCCGCGACACCAGCGTCACGCTCTGGCACGTACCGGACGAGTCGGACGCGACCGACGACCCCGAGGCGCCACCCTCTTACCAGCATGTCGGCCCCGTGGCCACCAAGAGCTGCAAGACCGCCGACAAGGTGGGCACGGCGCGACGGCGGCGCGGTCTGCGCAGGCCCGCGGGGGCTGGCTGCAGTCGGCTCCGCTGCATCTGTCGGCCGTGGTCCCATGGTTGGCGCACGACGGTGGGCCGCTATTGTGAGGACCGTTGAGAGGAGTGCTTACACGTGCAGATGGGCTTGAAATTGGACCCGATCTTTGGCTGGAGGGGGGAGATCGGAACCTGGCGGTGGGTCGTAATCAATGATATCTCCCCCCCCCACCCCCCATCCATCCCGTTCCTTATGGCTGCAGTATACGCATGAGTTTCAGCATGATGCAAAGCGCCATCAAACCATTCAGAGACATCATGGGGCATCTTGTATATGGTCTGACATCACCGAAGGTTCATGGTTTCTCCAAATGACACCTGCCGGCATGAACATGCCTGTTGAACATATCCACGCCTGATTCGACCCGGCTCGATTCATCAGTGCATTGGTTTAATATGTGTCATGCATAAGTGTGTTCACCTGCCCTGTCCACCAGCTGGCCGTGGGTGTTTGGCGATAGCCGGGTGCTGTATTCCATACCGCACACTCTGTATCCTGTTCCTAAATGTATTCCTTATCAGTCCTGCTTTGCTGTTACCCAGCCATTCGCCATTGTCTGGAGCTTCAGTTTTAGGTGATTGAGGAGATTAAGAAAGCTCTTTATTTATGTAAAGGTCACTGTATTTACCCTGATAATGCAGAAATTATGGGATGATTCTATTTATGCCGATAAGGAGCGTAGCCAGTAAAAGGCTGTGGGAGTTCTCGAAGTACATCACACATTTCTTGAAACTCCCCACACATGCCTTCAGTCCTCTAAACTAGTGTGGTTTTCCCAAAACAATATGTACAGCTCAGTTTCCCCTCCCTGGATAAGTATGTATCGCTCCGTAGGCGCTTCGTAGCCCCGCAGACCTGGTTAATAAAGTACCGTCCCCTGATGTTAATAGTCTACTGTTTCGTGATGTTAAATAGTATACCGTCCCGTGATGTTAATAGGGTAGCGTCCCCTGATGTTAATAGTATACCTTCCCCAGATGTTAAGAGTCTATCGTCCCCTGACGTTAATAGTGTATCATCCCCTGATGTTAATAGTGTACGTCCCCTGATGTTAATAGTGTACCATCCCTTGAACGTCACTAGTGTACCGTCCCCTGGTGTTAATAGTGTACCGTCCCCAGATGTTAATAACGTACCGCCCCGTGTTATTAATAGTGTGCCGACACCAGAGTGCAAGCGTCGCCAACACTGCTCTGTCTCCCGTTGTTTTACCGCAGCTGTGTGGGCTTCACTATTAGTGTACTCTGTCGTGCCGTATTCTGACAGTCATGCAGACCTGACTTATAGTCCTGGTCCACCGTCGTCTGATCACCGCCTTGCAAGTCTGACGTACAGGGCATGCCAGTCTCATGCCAACCGATGTCTCACATGCATTCTATCGCCGTGGGTCACCAGGTGCGCTCGTTGGCCTTCAACCACCGCGACCAGTCGCTGGTAGCGCTGTCCCTCAACGCCTACGTCCACCTCTTCGACGCTGTCTCCTTCAAGCAGAAGCTCTCCAGGAAGCTGCCGCACTCGATGGACAACGTGTGCTTGGCGCTGGGCGACAACTGCAAGATGTACGCCGTCGGCTCCAAGTCGCATACCACCATCCTCGATCCCAAATCGCTGAAAGTGCTGAAGAAGATCACTGCGAAATATCACGGATGCGGTGAGTTATGCGTGCCATTCGCTTTTTCGTTTCTATTTGTATTCGCTCAGAGGCGCGACAAAAGAGGTGGCTCTCGCCCGTGGCTGTCGACTGTTGCATGATTGTGCGAGGTGTGCGCCCTCGCCCTCGCTGTCCTCCGAGCTCTGCATCTGACCGGGTGCCGGGGGGCGTCACGTGACCGCGAGTCTCCCGATTCGCCGGGGGTCAAGGGTCGGCCGTTGAGGCGGCGGTAGGGACCCGACGCTCGCAGGTGCCAGTCGGTTTTTGGACGAGTCCGGGCGAATACACGTTGCGTTCTCTTACATCGACATCAATGAGAGAATTATCAGAGTGAAGGTATAAGTGGACGGACAGGAAGCGTGCGGACTGAGATGTACGGTCAAACTAGTTGTGGCTGGGTATGTGAGGCATGAAGCGGTGTGGCTTTCGGCAGGTTGGCGTTAGTGCCACATTAACACACTGATTGCAGGGTGGGATGAGCCAGGGCACACCAAAGTTAAGCCGAGTGCAAGTCAATAGAAGATTGACAAAGCGAAAAAGAAGTGTCAAATTAGCTCGCTTCAGCCTGGTTGGATTGCACCATTTGCTGCTCACACGCACCGCAGATCTGGCGTTACGTGTGGAAAACCTGGAACATTAATTTGCTAACTGGTGTTGTACTGTCTAGGCACACGCCGTGGTTACGCGTTGTCGTTTAGGCTGCAGTCATCATCTTTGTTAAACGTGATCCTTCGGCACTGTCGCGGATTTTGGCGGCCACTTTTTTACTGACGGGAGGTACTGCCGGCGCGTAAGCTGGCGCGAGGGCGCGCAGTTTCGTGGAATACTCAATGTGTGGGCGCGCTGATGCGTCTGAAGAAGCGTACAGACACGTGCGTGCATCTCCTTTAAGGGCAATGTTCTTTATACGGAGAACTATAAAACGTTCGGACGAGGCGCGTGGCTGACAGTGGCGTAGTGTCTTGACTATTGCGATTTTATGATTGGACTTGCGTATATGGGTATTGGATACACCAAGAGCTGCCGTAAATTCCATTTGTGAAGAGAGAGATGAGAGCTTCTATTTTGAAAAAGCACCGCCCAATAATTTCGGGACGGTGGAAATATTGGCACGAGAGCTGATCACTCGGTGCGGTTTTGGTGTTCCAATATTCAGGCAGATATGTTTCAGTGTCCTGTTTGATATTGGAAACGTCCGCATAAATCGTGAAGTGCAGATTCAGGTGAATGTCTGCTGGATGGAATCGTCAAAAATTCAGTTGAGGGCGGATTGAGACTGGGATGCCAAGCACGGAGAAAGATCATTCTCGAAGGTCAGTACGGGGATCTGCCTTAGAGATAAAACTATAAATGGGGTATAAAATTGGGACATTTCCTCTGGGCTGGAGCATGTGCCGTTGCAATCTTTTCTATCTCAATGCACATTGATGTGCTGTGTTGCTCTTGGCACGAGCGCCATGGAAGTCTGTCACACCACCGGCGTGACCCAGTATTGCGATGTGCTCTTCGCGTTTAGTGACTCGGAACCGGTGTCAATGGATCATAAGCACTCGATCTTATCCCCTCGGCCACAGGGAACCAGTATGGGCTTTCTTCAGGTCAGTGAGTGATAAAGAACGTTTTCGTTATTTATTCGTGCGTTCGAATACGTGCTCGACTGTTTCCGGGTCTTTGAACACATTTCGCAGTACAAAAATGTTCATCAAGTAAAACATCGGCTGAGTGTTTGGATATTCGGGCTCTGAATGCTCAGCTGTATTCAACGCTTTCGTAACCTAACAAGGCTGCACTGATGTTCAAACTTATCAGCATAAGACAGACGAATAAAAGCTGTAGGTGAACTTGGAATAGGTGTGTTTGTGATTGAAGACTTAGTTAGATTCCAGATGTTCAATGTTTTTCCGAGAGCGACAGTTAGATTACAGATGTTCAATGACTTTCCGAGAGCGACAGATCACAGATGTTCAGTGACTTTCCGAGAGCGACAGATTACAGATGTTCAATGACTTTCCGAGAGCGACAGACGAAAGCCTTCTCGGCCGGGTTTTTCGGGTTCGTTCAGATAGATAAGTCGCTGCTGAACTGACGTAGTGTTAATATTACGTTAAGTGATTGGTGCTGTCACAGCCGTGCACACTAAATTGTCTTTGTCTGGTTTGCTAACTGTTCCTTGTGCAGCCTGGGATAAGCCGGACTTGCCGTCATCGCGTGACGGTGTCCGAGACCCCAATAACAGTGACAGCACCTACATTAGCACACATCTTCTCAAGCCTGTTGAGTATGACGTCACGCCTGTTTAGTGTGACGTCACGCCTGCCGAGTGTGACGTCGCGGCTGAGCTTGGAGTGGCCGAAAGTCGGTATCTGGTGCACAGGGTCTTGGGTCCAACGCGGACCATTTTCGGCATAGGCACCTTCAATGTTTGAAACCGAGACGAAATGGAGTTTCGAAAATTCACGGTGTCAGATTGCCAGATGTAATGCCAGATGTAAGCAAACGACATTGGCGGGGTGAAGATCGCAGCACCTTCATCCGATAAGTATATCGCCATCCTCAGCGATACTCTGACAGAGGTCATTGCTGTCCTCTCTCTCGGACCATCGTTCCCATCTCAGAGGTTGTATGGCCATATCAGACCATTTCTTGACTCGTCAGTCTTGCGGTGTTTCCCACGCGCGGCTGCAAAACGCATTATCTCAGTGGGGTAGTAAAGCAAGCTTTCTTTGGCTTGTGGTGTCTTTGTAACTGGAAGCGTTGCCGCGTCATGCGTCATCCGTGATTCGTACACATCACAGGTGCAGCAGGTATCAGCAGGTATATCAGTTGGCATATCTGGTGCAGCAGGTATATAAGCTCCTTCACTGTGTCAGACGGCAATGAATACGACGGGCCTGTAAAGTTCACCTCACACTAACCTGCGGGACCTGCGTTACATCAGGCGTACCACTGAAGTTTTGTGATGACCTTAAACAGTGTTACAGTTTTGATGTGTTCAGCAATGGAGTTGAATGCTGTGGTAGCGGCGGAGCCGACCGTCGCACGCACGCCGCTTGCGAACGTGACCTGACCTGACCTGACCTGATCGTCATCTGGACGCCGCTCTCCGCTTCAGGCATCCGTTCGCTTTCATTCAACGGCGACATCCTGACCATCGGCACGGGCAACTCGGTGCTCATGTTCTACGACCTGCGGGCGCAGAAGTACCTGGACTCGGGCGTCAGCTCGGGCCGTGCCGTCGTCTTCAAGGCCACCTCCGGCTGGGTGGTGAGTCGGCGGAGGCGGGCCGGCAGCGAGCCGGTTGCTCCCCTGCGGAGCGACCTCTCCTCAGCCTCGGGCGGTGGCCGGCGGAGGGCCCCCGGCTACCCCCTGCGGAGCGACCTTTCCTCAGCCTCGGGCGGTGGCCGGCGGAGGGCCCCCGGCTGCCCCCTGCGGAGCGACCTCTCCTCAGCCTCGGGCGGTGGCCGGCGGAGGACCCTCGGCTGCCCCCTGCGGAGCGACCTCTCCTCAGCCTCGGGCGGTGGCCGGCGGAGGGCCCCCGACTGTCCCCCCCCCCCTCCCTGTGGAGCGGTCTTTCCTCAGCCTCGGGCGGTGGCCGGCGGAGGGCCCCGGCTGCCCCCCTGCGGAGTGGCGCTGGCTCCGCCCTTGTCGGCCATCGGCTGCCAGCGGGCGCGCTCGGTGACGCACATGGCGCACGGGGCGCGCGGCGTCAGTGTTGCTAGGCCGCTGACGGGTGCGCCGTATTGTGGGTCGTGATCCATCAAATATGTATTGGGCTTGGCCTGTATGCACAAACAAAGAGCCTTTCAGTACCGGTTGCTCTGTAGGTGTGGCTCGTAGCCTTGTCCGGTATTTGCTATCGTTCCCATTTGAAATACGCTACCAGTCACGCGGATTGTATTACGGAGCTTTTCTTTTGAGGAGCGTCAGGCGAGCAGCTTCTGTGTCCCGGTATGTAATGGAGGGCCCGGCTAGTGTTTGTCGTGTGGCCGGAGCTGTGTGTCTTGTGCCGTGTATGCCCGACTGAGCGTACTCCGCGTGACAGGAACCGCTGCGGTTAGGGTCTGCTGTGCCGGGCGTGCTCTGGCCGGACGTGCCCTGCCGCCGTGCTGGGCGGCCTGTGCCGGGCGTGCTCTGGCCGGACGTGCCCTACCGCCGTGCCGGGCGGCCTGTGACGGGCGTGCTCTGGCCGGGCGTGCCCTGCCGCCGTGCCGGGTGGCCTGTGACGGGCGTGCTCTGGCCGGGCGTGCCCCGCCGCCGTGTCTGGCGTGCTCTGGCCGGGCGTGCCCCGCCGCCGTGTCGGGCGACCTGTGACGGGCGCGTACCGTTGTTGCAGTCGCCGCGCCAGGCGGCCGACGAGTCGCTCTTCCACGAGGGCGGCGTTGCGCAGGTGGACCACACGCCGGCCATCTACACTCACTGCTACGACGCCTCGGGCACGCGACTCTTCACGGCCGGCGGGCCGCTGAATGTGGACGTGCGCGGCTGCTACGCCGGACTCTGGATGTGAGCCGAGCCGAGCCGCCGCCGCCGCCGCAGGACCGGACTGTGGCGCAGGGCAGCAGCCCAGGCCGGCACTGCCACTGCCGAGCGGCGCTGGCGCTGTTGGACCGCCGGCGACCGCGAGGGGCGCGAGTAGCAGCTCGCGCGAGTGCCGTGGCTGTCCTCGAGCGTGCGCCGCGGCCGAACATGTCTGCGGCACGGTGCGCCGCGGCGACTGGACGCGGCCGGGGGACGTCGCGATGCGGTGATCGGTTGGAAGGTTTTATAGCCGCGCGCTAGATCTGTGGTATGCGGTTGTGTGTGCTGATGTGCTGGGGGGACTCTGCCGCTGGGTGCTGGCTGCCCGGACCGAGCGACTACGGGGGAATGCCCGATGAATGGTGAGATGCTGTTCTTCTCAATCATGTAGTGTAGGCTCAGTGTGTGCCTCCAAAAAGCACGGCCCGCCGTCGTGGCCCTTGCGTGAAGGTCATGACCGAAGGGCTGCAAATACTGCCAATGTCTGGTAAATGGCCGGAAGCCTTTCTGGTACAGCTGGTGAGCCTTGCGGACAGATGTCGAGTGGCAGCAAGCCCTGTGTTAGTTGAACCGACCAGGAACCTCAGAGGCTCCATATTACTGGCATCACTGAGGCGGTGACACCATCGTGACGACCCTGCGACTGTAGAGGATTTCCCGCGTTCTCCCGGCACCACCACGGTCCGCCGTCAACATTCTGCATTGCACGTCTGACAGCGGCTGCCGTCGTCGACGATGTGATGACAGATCCATTCTTTCACATTTAGTACCTCACCCATATTGCGTGTGTACGAGCGCGGGCCCTGTGGTTGACGCGTGCGCCCCTCCTGGAGGCGGTGACCGGGCCGTGGCGTGCGGAGCGTGCTCGACTGGGCATGGTAGGCGCTGCTCACAGCTCTGGTTCAGACGCTGCCTCGCCGCCCGTGGCGCGGTCGTGAGCTTTAACGCGTGTGTGAAACGGACGGTGAAGGGTCCAATGAGTATTTATCACACGATGAGTGGTATGCGCATGCTTGGGAGCAAACTTCGTTTGGTCTGACCGTTTCAAGCTGCTCAGAGGTGTGAAGAAAATAATCCACTGACGTACGATAGGCGAGAATAATGTTAAAATCATGTTTTTAAGTGGTGAACTAGTTAGGCGGACTTGCTTGCTTTCGTCTGTCGTGATTGTCGTTATGTTTTAGGGGTGTAGCTTCACAAAATGAGTTGGGGTGAATAGGTTGAATAGTGAAAAATGACCCGACCTACCCCCAAAATATGCAAACAAACAGGTCTCTCCCCAGATTTGGCCCACTTTCATCCAACATTGAGGGGCTGGCGGGCGAAGCCCCTCAACGCAATAGAAAAATACACCCCAGCTGCGTTGTACAACAGTTTGTGACGAGCATCGCGAAAACGTGGCCGATTTACTTTTTATTTTCTCATATATATTTGTACCGATCGCCGGCATGGCTGCGTGTCGGATTACCAAGATGCGTCCGCACCGGTCAATTTTCCACGTGCGTGTCTTTCACTCGGGTGTGTGAGCGGATGTGTCGGGAGCGTGAAGAGGACCGGTCCTGGGAGGCAGGGGAGCGTGCAGAGGACCTGTCCTGGGAGGCTGCCGCCTGCTGTGGCGTCTGCACGTGGGAGGCGTCGTGGTCATGTCGCCGAAGAGGCGACGGCCGCAGCGCGTCCGCGCCCCTGACAGGTCAGGAACGCCCCGGCCACTGGTCATGACGTAGCTTGGGCGAATACATGCGTGTCTGATTTGCGTTGTTTTGCTAGACTGATGGGAGAGCGGCGCATGATCCTTGCAAACCACGCGGATTATGTTTGTGTTGCGCTGACACGTGTCGTGCCTTTTGACGTCATTCGCGATGACTGACACGTCCCGCGGCAGCCTTGAACAGTGGAGTTTCGTTAAAGTCGCTCGTTGAGATCGCCGGGTCCGAGACTACAGGACGGTCGTGCTCGGTAGTGCCGCGGTGACCGCTGAGGAGGCGCCGCGGGCTCTTGTAGGGCCACGCTCGTGCGGTGACCGCTGTGGAGCCGCCGCCGGCTCGTGTAGGGCCGCGCTCGTGGGGTGACCGTTGAGGAGCCTCCGCGGGCTCGTGTAGGGCCACGCTCGTGGGGTGACTGCTGAGGAGCCGCCGCCGGCTCGTGTAGGGCCACGCTCGTGGGGTGACCGCTGAGGAGCCGCCGCCGGCTCGTGTAGGGCCACGTTCGTGGGGTGACCGCTGAGGGGCCGTCGCCGGCTCGTGTAGGGCCGCGCTCGTGGGGTGACCGCTGTGGAGCCGCCGCCGGCTCGTGTAGGGCCACCCTCATGGAGTTCTCGGAGCGGCTCTTGGTGCCTATGCACCAGTGCAGTCAGCGGAGAACAGTGGCACTGTGGGCTGTGCTGTGGCGCCGGGCTCCAAGGCGCAGCGCCCGGCTCGCCTTCCGGCGGCTACCGCGGTCCAGGACTTCTGCTCACGCCGCGGCGGTATGTCAGCCGTGTGGTACTGCGATACCGGGCTTTATGGTCAGGTGAAGATGGAGCTCCTTCGGCTGGTGTATAGTGTGCTTGAGGATTAATGGGGCGAGGGAATTGTGATAACTCAGCAGCCATCTTGTTTTCGTCCAGCCTCCGGCTTTCGCCGCCGGGACGCCCCCGGACAGCGCGCGGTGGCGAAGTGTAAATGCTGTGACCGGACAGGCAGCCGTGGCGGCCGCGAGGCCCGCACTTGGCTGTTGGCCACGGTCTAATCCCGGTGTGGGAGGCGTGCGATTACACGGGACAGAGTGCGGGAAAGCCGTTTGTTGGTGGTCGGATTTCCCTCCACGGTCCACGGCTAACCCGGACAGAAACCCTTTGTCGGTGTGCGATACTGCCAACAGGATCATCCACAAGGCCACGGGGGCGACCGCGGCACGCGGCCGCAGTGTCCAGGCGCTGCGGAGATGCGGCATGAGTGATGCACGTGGACACGAGGCTGCCGCCGTGAGCGCGGCGTCGCCGAGCTCCGACACGACGTACGCAGCAAAGTTGTGGACGCGTCCGCCGTCGGTGACGAGGTTATTGAACTGACGCCGACGCCGGCCGGGCGCCGGCGAATCAATGCGCGGCGTCCGCCGCCTATGCAAACTGTCGCCCCTCGGCCCTGAACTTCATTGCGAAGTCGCGCTGGTCATTCTGGGTACAGGGCGGCCGGCGACGGGCGAAGTTGCCGCGGGGCACCGCCCCCGGCTGCGCCCGGGCCCAATCGGCGGCCCTGGCCAGTACGCTGGCGGTGCGCTGTTTGTGTTGTGCACCTCACCCAGGTGATTGTATCGACCGGCGACGGCCAGGCGGCCGGGCCGCGCCGCCCCGGCCCGCCGGAGTCGAGTCGGCCATCCCCTGGGAGCCGGCCGAGCGCGCGCGTCGCTCCTGCCGGCACGTGCCAGTGACCCGGCTGTGACCCTGAGTGGGCGGTCAGGCGCGGACGCTCGGCCCCGTTCACCAGCGACCCGGCCGCCGCCGGCTACGTCGAACAGGTTCGTGCTGACCGCCCGCCCGACTCGCCCGTTCCGTGATCATGCCCGGTCAGGCTCCGGCGCCCGCCGACCCTACCGACGCGGTCCAGCAATCGCGGCCGCCCGCCTTCGTCGACTGCTACGTCTGCCAGAAGCAGTTCGGCTCCCACTCGGTGGCGCTGCACGAGCCGCGCTGTCTGGCGCGGTGGCGCGCGGCGAACGCGGCGCTGCCGGCGGCGCAGCGCGCCGTCACGCCGACCAAGCCGAGCGTCGAGTCGCCGCAGGCGCCGCCGGCGTCCTCGCTCAACTCGTCCTGGCCGCGCAGCAACGGCCGCATGCGAGCGGCGCTGGAAGAGCAGGCGAGCCCGCGCGTCTCGCGGCCGCGTACCGCCGTTCTCAAGAAACCGCGCATGTTGGACGCCGGCAAGTGCAAGGAGCTGGACATGTCGACCACGCGCTGCAGTGAGCTGCTGGACATCGTCTCGCAGAACGCACAGCGGCGCAAGGCGCGCGCTGCCTCGGAGGAGCGGCCGCGCACCATCCGACTGACTCAGGCTTCGCGCGATCTTGACGTGCCGAACATCGACTACCGGGCGGCGCAGCCGGCGCTGATCTCGCCGGACCGTGGCCGTGCCAAGCCGGGCCGCCGCCTGCCAAACTTCACGCGCGCACTCGAGCAGTTGTTCAACGCGCCGCGCGCCAAGGCGGGTGTGCCGAAACCCTGCATGTCGTGCGGGAAGCCGGAGAACCCGGAGCGCTTCCACAGCCACCCGGCCGACCCGCCGGCCGAGACGACCAAGCGCCGCAACGAGAGGAAGCCGAAGAAGCGGCTCTCGACGCAGCGGCCGGTGGCGATCAAGTACCGGCCGCCGCCGGCCGTGCCGCCGCCGCCGCCCAACATGGACCCCGTGGCGCAGCGGAAGCAGCAGCTGGAGGAGGAGCAGCGCCAAAAGCAGGCGCGGCTCAAGGAGGAGTACCTCAAGAAGGAGGAGAAGAGCAGGAAGGCGAGGGAAGATGCCATGCGGAAAAAGTTGGCATTCACGCTCTCCAAGCACGAGCGGCCCACCAATGGCAGCAACGGCACGTCCAAGATTGTCGTCTGCTACATTTGCGAGAAACAATTCGGTGCCAACTCTCTGCCCATCCACCAGCCTCAGTGCCTGGAGGTGAGGGTGAGCACGAGCTGTGCCCTAATCTTCCCTCCGGTCTCACGAAAGCAATGCTCGTGTCTCGAATCTATGCTCGTATTCAGGTTTTGCGATCATTTGGCACATGAAATGGCTTCCCGGTGAGCACTGGTTTGCACGGCATAGCTGGGGAAACGGTCTGCACACTGGGCTAGATACATCTGGGGAGTTCAGAAACATGATCAGTGTTGACAAGTAGCACTTTTCAAAGCAAGCATTTACAACAAAGCGTTCGAAATTCGTTTACACGTTATGTACCACTGGTATGTGCCGAGCCGCTCCCCGGGTCTTGATCCTGAACTCGAGTCCATGGTTCAATCCTTACATTCGAGCCGAGTCCCACTTTTGAATTCTAGGATTCCGAGACCGGGTCTGTTTGGACTCAGTGTACATGAGTTGGACTCTTGAATGCCAGTCCAATAAGAGCGAGAACGTGTTGAGCTACTCGCAAGCCTCAAGCCCAGCCTTGAGTGAGAATGACATCATCCACGTCCAGCGGTCGCACAGGGTAAGACTAGCCTCCTATACAATCATGTGGGGTAGAGATTGTAAGATAGACTCGTACCGCTCTGCACCCCTAGCCAGACTTGACCTGACTTCGACAAGACACCTTTGCGACGTGGGACGCGCGGGATGGTGACGAACGAGAGTGCTATCATCGCCTTGATAACACCGAAAGATCGGCGAATGGAGCCAGTCGTCTTTGGCAGCCCACGCGATCAATTCATTGGAACACCCTTGTCTATGAATTCAGCAGGGTTCCCTGATTCATAGCGTTCGTCCGTAAATTTGCAAACATCCGCTTGTGAATTCGCTAACTTTGGACCCGGCAAATCATGGGGTTCATTCAGCGGGACTAATTACACGTGACCGTTTAGTCTCCGGTGATTTCCACCGGAGTATTGCAAAAAGCGCAAATATGTTGTTCGAAATGAATCCTGGTAAACTGGGTAGTACACCCTGCGCACGAACGGTGTCGAGATCATTAGCGGCCCGAAGATGGTATATTCATCAATGCACCATCCAGCTGGTTTCACGTTTTCAGTTTCTGTAGTTGCCAGAATCTGACGCCAGTCGTTCGAAACCCCTAAAAACTTGCGGATCTGTCGTTTGCGCTCGTATGCACGTGACTGGCTGCATCCATGGACGTACACTTTTGCCGCCACGTTTGACCGTTCCTTCCTCCAACGAGAACGGCATTGGTCTGGTGACTTGGCAACTCTGATGTTTTAAGATTAGCACCTATTTCGATCAGAGCTCATTAGTTTCTCCGCAGTTTACGTGATGCCGGACTCGCGATTCGATTTTGAAAATTTTCAAAAAGTGCAATTTGAAAATGTGCCGCTGAGAGCTAGGAAGCGGTGCGGGCAGCAAAGTGTGACTAACTGTGCCGGGCCACTGAAGCTAAAAATGTTCTATTAGTTGACCTTAAGACCCGCTCGGCTACTGTCCCCACTCGTAATGAACATGCACTTATCTATCTTTGCGTATCTGACGAATTGCCGCTTCAGATTTATTGATTGCCGCGTCAGATTGCCGCGTCAGAGTTCTGTAGGCTGAAACGTTCTTTCACGAAATCAGACGGACTGGCGCTAAATCCAGTGCAGCCCAGCACAAAGAATATTGACGAAATCGAACCGAGCTACGGCTGTGAAACCCAAACCAACACCGTCATCCCTGCACAAAACATGTGGTTTTTGGCGCCTGCGCTTAAATCGACACGCGGGTAATTGGCGTGTGAGAATCAAGGTTAACCAAACGTGATTCCTGTGTACGTTGTGAAAATAGTCCAGGGCTTAGGAACATGATGCTGAGTAAGGGGCTTAGTTTTGATTGCGCTGCTTTTGATCTTAACTATGCCTTGATCTATTTTAGCTCGAATGTGAGGCTTAGTAGCAAGTAGTAGGCTTCCACCATTTATTATACCGAGTCCGATCAATTTTGATTCGGAATGATTCTGAATTCCGGTCCAAACCCTCATTTCCTATGATCAGTAAGTCCTAGACCAGGTCCGTTTCACCTGTAAAATGAACCGATCCGCTCTAGTCCGGTCCCTAAAAGTCACGAGCCTGGACTCGACCCCGAGCCTGCTCGGGTTGGACCCCGAGCCTGCTCGGACTGGACCCACGTGGGGATCCAGGCGGTGGTTTGTCATTAGTATGGTTCGCAATTTTCATTCGAGCTGTCTTTCGCATCGGTTTCGATCCCATTTTTGGCAGTTTGGAGGTCAGACCAGCGATTTGCTACAGACCTGGCTTGCCGAATCGAACATCACACATTCCGCTCGACAAGCGCAGAGCTGGCGGTACAGCGTCTGTCTGTAGGCAGGTGGCGGTCGCCGGCAGCGATGCAACCGTCGCGATGCAGTCCCCTCCCCCGCCCCCCCCCCCCCCCCCCCCCTCCCAGTAACCATTCATGGCGTCGATCGACCCAGCCTCGGCGCGGCTCGATACACCTACAGCCCGGCTGCCGGCAGCACGCCGTACGTCACAGGAACGACCGCCGCCCCCCCCCCCCTCCCCCTGCGGCGGTCGGTGACGCCATGCCTGCAACAGTCAACTGGCGGAGGCCGGCTTCACCAGCACGACGGCGTGCATTGCTATGCGGTGGTCACAATGTCCACAGTGTTCACAGTGTTCACAATGTCCACAGTGTTCACAGTGTTCACAATGTCCACAGTGTCCACAGTGTTCACAATGTCCACAGTGTTCAGTGTTCACAACGTTTGGCCTTCGTCGTATGTGGTTCCACGGCGTCCACCAAGTTCGTGCCTTCGCGTATCTCTAGCCGTTTTGGAGGTTTGTTAATACCTCTGTTAATCCATGGCCGTTATTTATCGCCAGTTCCATGCCTCGTTTTAATATCTGGCCACCATTGTACTGTCCTGCCATGTCAGGTTCTTGTGTGATGGTAAATTAATTCTTCCCTTGTGACCACACAGGCCACACGACCGCTTTATGTAGGTTCCCCTTGATGCGAACCGGAAAACGATGGGACGGCAGGCGATTTTACGTCTTGTCTTGCCGATCTCATGGAAGTCCAGTCCAGTTCAGCAGCCCAGCTCTTCGCGAACGCCGCCCGACACGTTTAGCATGCACGATCACGCAGTCTGGAGCCGGGTGACCCATTTCGGTTGCATGCCTATCTGGCCGATAGAGCCCGGAAGGTTTCTGGCTATCCCCAGACAAACTTAAGGACCAATACTACGAACCGATGCTAAGGACCGATGCCGTGGGCCGGGTTAGTCTTACCTACCTGAACTATAAAGGGGTCGACTTGGGCAGCATGGCCTAGTCCGGGCCGGCCGGCATGCATTCTAGAAGCTTTGCGTTTCCTGATGGCAGTTTCATACAATTTTTGGCAACGAAAATTGTTGTGCGAGGTTGCGCCGCACTGCTTTGTTGGCATTTACCTATAAGCTCTCTGACCATGCTTTTCGCACGCTTTTGAACATGAAAAAGTTACAACATAAAGTGAGTTTGGAAAATCGAATCGAATCGAATGAATGAATGAATCGGCATGAATCGAATGGAACAAAAAGTCGAAATATTCACGGATCTAGATGACCTAGCATCCTCGCAAGTGTCGCAATAACACGAGAGAACGGGTTTTCCGGGGGGGGGGGGGGGGGGGGGGCGGAGCAATTATTGAAATTGGCGACTACATGCGCCGATTTGGCATTGGGTTACGACTTTGATGTACAAGCCACGGGTCCGCTTAACGTGGCGTTGTTAAGGAAAGAGGTCTGATGCCGGCAACTAGAGCAGAGAAGGACGCGAAACCAATAGTCCACTGCGTACTGCACTGCACTGTACAGATACCGATGACTTTATATGGCCTTTGACCATTTGAACATTCTCCGACCCAGCGGCATCAGTGTGTCAGCAAATAAACGACCGGAAAGCGGCCCATGCTACCTTTTCCGAAACCGACCTTGAATGACAACCGCTGTGCCCTAGACGAGGAAAATCGGATCATGGAAGCCGCCAGGCAAACAGCTGAATTTAGTGAGACTGATATCTCCTCAAAAGCTTTGCAGTTTCATGTTGGTTTGGTCCAAGTTACGGAAGATGAAATCGTTTTCCATCCCTCTATTTCTTCAATTAAAATTGCAAAGCATTGTCAAGCTCATAGCTGGCCAATTTGAGGCCATTTGTGTTCTGTAAACTCATATACGTACCTATGTCAAGTGTCAGTGCGCATGTACTTGCCAGACTCACGAAAGAGGGTATTCCATTGAAGTGAAGACAATCTATTGATATGGATTTCCACGTACGACATCTTTCATTTGCTGAGATCCCTTAAACTGTCGTTGAAGTTGTTGGAACAGCACAATAGCAGCTAGGGACGCAGCCAGAGCTTTGGTAGGGGGAGGGGCACAGAGTTGACAAAAGGGTCTCTCCCCCCCTCCCCCCCCAGGAAGAAATCGTCAGATATGACCCGTTTGTTATTGAAGGCATGTTTATTACACATTTTTACCATTTATCGTTGGGATATAGGTCAGACGCCACCCCCAGGACATTCTGCCTTAAGTTTGTAGTAGACTGACAAAATCACGCGTTAAATGACTGCTTGAAATAAATCGCCGGCACTTTATTTTACGATGGTCTAATGATTTTTTTCTTAAACAAGCAGGACTCAAAACTTCTGTCAAATTTTTTATAAAAGCTGTACAGAAATAACAAGGATTCCGCGAATGTAAATTAAAGATCAAACTGGGTCAACAAGTCGCATTAACATGGCCAAACATGGCCAGGCCATGTTTGCCTGGATATCTTCAACATTCAGTCAGAACTGATAAGTGGTACAAATTATGTAACGCAATGTTAGGCATGCACGCTCGCATATCTCAGAAACAAAAAGCTCGACGCCAGGCGTTGCAGTTTCCTTAGGCCGCCCAGCGTCGGCCCTATGGCTTCCACTAGGTCGTGGCCAACAGGTGGACGAAAAAAGTGACGCATCTGAAAGAAGTGCCTTTGAACGCTTTTGAACACCAAATCGTACCTTAAGGAATATTCCAGGAGTTTATATCACCCTTGAGGTTTTTAGATTCATGGCAATAACGTGTTGATTTTCACAGCACCGCGAAGTGGTGCTGGAATATGGTTGTGGAACTGGGAGAGTAAAGGTAAGATTTCTATTTGTCGTGTTGCCATAACTGTTAATCTGTCCAGAAGACATCCTCAAAGTCGTAAAAAAGATTCGCCAGTGTAATCCTTGGACTTAACGAATTAATTTTGAAAAACATTGAGAGGCATTATTTTACGATGGTCATTGTTGCGCGCTCGGCGCCCGCCCCCCTGGCGTTACCTGCAGTGGCCAACGCCGTTCGCTTTTACGAGAACTGCGACCTGAGCCATCGTTATCCTTGTTCCCCGAGATTAAGGCCATGCCATTGGGGCTTTATGACGTAATCAGCTCCTGGGGCTATATGGCACCGCCAGCCTCTCACCCTGGCGGGAAGGGCGGGCACCGTGGGGAATCGAACCCGAGACGCGCAGTGGTTAAAGTACGCGGGTGAACCACTACACCATCGGTGCCCGGCGCGCAGGCTCAAACATTTTGATGGTATTTGTCAGACTAGTCGATTCTACAAAATATGACCGTTCTCAGGAAAACATGGGATTGCCCTTTGCGTTTTGAACTAATTTCGACCCACTCCATTCAGCGCCAATGAGACCCTTTATTTCTTTCCGGCACAGGGCCCCCTTGAATACAACACTACAGGGCACAATACTGTTCCGGTGAAGAGCTGAGGGGCCATTCTGTCTCAACGCATTGCACTTTCCGGTGGTCATACTGGCGACACGGGGCGGCATCTCCTGGCCGATCCGGAGGCCCTTAGAGGGAAACATCATGTCACATTGGTTCGCTCCCTGACGCGGGAGGCCTTCTGATCCGCGCAGTTGACTCAGATCGGCGCATGAGCCGTTGTTAGCGTAAAAACATCCTTGCTCACCGTAGGTGGTGGAATAATTGGCACATGGACTCCAGTTGGACTTAGCGGGTCCATGCTGGAAAACGACTGCAGGACCCCCCCTTCGGTACTGGGGGCCCTGACTGGCACAGGACTCTTCTATTACCTTAAGGTGAGCACTCATCTTAAGTTCTTGTTTCCTTACATTGTCCAAGGGCCCGAGGGTCTCGACCAACGCAAGAGACCCTCTGCCTTTTGGGCTCCCGTCCCCGCCCCTGTTAAACAAATCTTCCCCTGACTGATTTGAGGCCCCCTGTTGACACAGAATGCTCTGTTGGGGCACTGTGGGCCCCTGTACGATACAGGAGCCCGACCGATGTAAATCGCGGGCCTGGCCTTGTCCCTGCTTGGGAATGGGGCCCATAGAGCTCAGAACAACACGGAGCTGACTGTTAGTTGTTCGTAATCTCTGGCCGAAACAGAGGGACACTCTGTCTCAGGGGTCCCTATCGGAACAAGAGATCATCGTACTGACGTTTGAGATCGCGCCCCCCATGGGCGGGGTACTTGATGTGACATACTGCCAGCCCTTCGCACTCTTCGGCCATCCCATCGGGCCCTTGATCTTTTGTCTCGAGACACCCTTCAGTTCCTCTTCGGGCCCCCTCAAACAACGCTCCGACTCGGGGCACTTGTCACCACAGGACCTCTGTTCGGCACTGGGACCTAACCAACACAGAAGTCCCTCACTGTATCAGGGACTCAGAACATTGCAAATCGCGGACCCCGGCCTCGTTTCTGCCTGGGAAATAGGTCTCAAGGGCTCAGACAGACGTGGAGCCGCCTGTTAGGTGTTCATGGTCTCTGACCGACTTAGATACCCGCATTCTCTCAGGGGTTCCTCAAACGGTGCAAGAGGACCTGTGATATTTCGGGTTACGACCCCACGGACCGCGGTTCTTTATGTAACCTACAGCCGGTCCTTCGGGCCCTAATGCCCCCCATCCGGGCCTTTGATTATCGGTTCCGGTGGACCGCCCGGGTCTCTCTTCGGGCCACATCAAACACTTCTCTTGATCGGCTCGGGGCTCTTGCGAGCACAGGGCCCTCTGTTATGCGCTGTGGGCCCCTGACAGGTACAAGGCCCCCGACCAGTGTAAATCACTGGCCCCGGCTTTATAGCTGATTGGGAAGTGTGTCTTCAGGTCCACACCGACACGGAGCCGACTATCTGGTACCGTAGTGCCCAACCGATACATAGGCCCATATCGACTCAGGGGATCCCCGATCGGCGCAAAGGACCCTCTGACCGTTATTTGAGGGCCCGTCGTCGCAGGTATGGGGTCCTGAATAAGTCTCCGACGGGCCCTTTATGCGATTAGACCCTCCAATCGAACCCATGATTGTCAGACCGGGTGGGCTGTCTAGGCTCTCCGGGTTTTCCCGAATACTGTCTTTGGCCGACCCGGGTCCCCTTATTAGCACAGGGCCTCTGTTAGGGGCTGTGGGGCCCGAGCAATGTAAATCGCCGGCTCCGGCCTTGTCCCTTCCTGGAAAATAGGCCCTTACGCCCACGTCGCCACGGAGCCGACTGTGCGTTACTGGTGGCGTCTGACCGATCTATATGCCGTTATCGACTCAGTGGGCCCCTGATCAGCGCGCAGGGTCCTCTGGCTGCCATTTGAGCACCCGGCCCTGCAAGCCGGGGCCCCTGAATGATACCCTTGGCTGACTTTTCGGGCCCTCAGTGGTAGGCTTCGAGAGGTCCAAAGGGCCCTTCGGGACCTAAGGGTGGGCACGTGCCCCCTGTGCCCCTCCCCCCTGCCTGCGCTACTGATAGCAGCACGAGTCCCGTTCTACTCTGCCTACCACCGATGGCACGTCTACTCAACCTTGCGTTCCACTATCAGCAAATGTTCCTTCCTTCCCATCCCACCGTATGTCAACGGTAGCATGCGCCCCATTTCGCTGGTGTTGCGCGACGTGCTGCCAGGCTTTCTCTAGTCAATGCAATGTGCATAATCCGCAGGATTGACGCACGCGCCCGGGCACAGCAGAGTATGCTCATTAAAGCTGTGTGGAAACGCCTTGAACTGTTCAAATTGGTCGATGACTTTCATGTCCCGGTTTGTCTGGGGCCATCACAATGATTGTTGTCACACTGCATCACAAAAAATATCGATACATTTGAGACAAGCTGACGTTTTCACCCAAATTTTAGTTTAACATGACGGCCTGTTGAGAGGGCATCACTGCCTTCTCAGTGGCCAGAGCTTTTCAGTGCACTACTGCCACTCTATGGGTAGCTAAAACTGACAATATGTATGCCAACGCCATTTCACTGCATATCCCAATGACATCTGTGAGTTGTGCTCAATAGGATGTGTCCCCCCTCCATTCCACTACATATCATGCAGACAGAGCGTGTCCATTCACTCTCCATCGTACGCCATTCCAGTAACACTCGCTTCCCTCGGTTCCACTGCACCACGGAGATGGAACATTTCGTGTCCGTTATTACATCGTTTGTCATTGGGTCCGGCCACTGGCGTTAATGACCGTCCACACTGCGCTGGCGTGCATCGGCGGCCGTGTCACCGACCCCTGGCGTGCGTGTCAGCGCTGCGTGCCGCGTCACGGCCGGCCGAGGCCCCCCGCCGTACGCGGCGCTGATGGCGTGCGTCGCTGCCTGTCAACAGAAGTGGCGGCGGGAGAACGAGGCGCTGCCGGAGCACCAGCGCCGGCCCGAGCCGCAGCCGCCCTCGCAGCCGGTGCCAGCGCCGCGAGACGGCCAGCAGCCGGTCCCGCAGGAGACGCAGGTGACGCCGGACGCGGCGCGGTACTCGGTCTCGTCCAGAAACTGAAATCGATGGTTATCGTGATCAAACATAAATTAACGTCCTTACCTTTTGAAAGAAGCGTACCATATATGCCTGAAGTTAGAAAGTCGCTGCGTGACATCGATCTCCTCAAAATAGGGCTCACGTAAAAGCTTGTCATCAATTACAGCCTAGAATAAAACATGCATTTTGAGGAGAACCTTTAACACGCGCTCGGGTGGGGTTCAAATTGATCCCCCGAAGGTTTTTCTAGAATGGCTTTCTAACGGCGCGGCGTAGTCACGCCAAATTTTGTATAGGTGTAGAAAATCGAATACCAGATAGTTTGGCATCAAAAGTTTAGATGTACCTTGTAAGGTCGCTGACCTATGGCAGGTCAAAGTCAGGCCATGGTTTCAGCGAAGGCAATTTCTAGGGAATCCTTCAATCTGATCCAACAACGGAGTGTTAGACGAAGCCACACATCTCTGAGATGCTTTCTTAGGCAACACTACAGTTGAATGAGTAAATTACATTGACCTAAGGTCAGGTATGACGGTCATACCAAGGTCAAAACCAACCTGTTTTGTTACTCTAGGGCTTGCTGTATGGGATAGTTTCTGGTGCTTATTTCGAGCTTATTGATAGCAGGAACCGCATTATACATCTTCCATAGACTTCTTAGCGGTCAGAATAGGTCATTGACCTAGGATGACACAGGTCAACATTTTGTTTTAGGAACATACTGCCTAACGTAACATTTGTCGTTTAGTCAAATGCAAAACTCAAAGCAATCTTGTATTATTTTGGTCACCTTGACCTTAAAAAGGTCAAAAAAGGTCACTGGCCTTAAGTGAGAATGTGACCTTTTGCTTAGAAACGGTTATCTAGGTTCTGGGGGCAATTTAGAGACCAACCTAGAACTTGACTTTGTTGGACCTTTTTTGGCCCGAAGGTCATGACCTAAGAACCTGAAATTTTGACCTAAGTGCTTTCGCGTACAGGTCAACACACCCTGTAAATTTAGTGTCTCTAGCTTTCTTAGTTCTTGAGATCTCAAGGGGGATAAATTGACACCCTCTCTAGCGAAGGGTATCTAGCCGGCCGCCCGGGCGCGTGTTTAAGCAAAAATCACGACAGCAGGGCGAAGTGGTGCAGAAGCGTAGCTCCTGTCATTACCACATAAATATGATGATAGATGATATATATATATATATATATATATATATATATATATATATCATCTATCGTATATATATATATATATATCATCTATATATATATCATATATATATATATATATATATATATATATATATATATATATATATATGTATATATATATATATAGGTAGATACAATAGAGAATAAACAAATATTTTATGATCGTGTTAGGTCATGATTAGGACGCGGAATGTAAGAGAAACATTAAGCTCGCGTACCTTCAAGGTGAAATGATGGTAAAAATGACGTAGCGCGGAATTTCTGGTGCGTGGAGACCCTATGGTCATCAGGACATCAGCCGATGTGCAAATGGTTACCTGGTAAGATCCTATCGTTCAATGTAGCTTACAATATAACAAAGCGTATTTTAAGGTCAGCCTTCGATTTCGAGTCAAGATCGACGGACGCTTTACCGTAGTCCTGCCGCTGTGCAGTCTATGTCTAGGAAAAGGATGCGAGGGTGAAGTGTGTCATTGACAGCATTATGGAAGGCAAAGTCCTACGCTAACATCGTTTAAGGCCAAACTTTAGGCCAAAGGATTGGGTTCGAGTAAAACTGCTGTCGCGTGCGTCTGATTTTCCAAACAATGATGTGCTTGAAGCCCTATCAGCTTTTGAACATGGGATGCAAAAAAAAGATAATTTCTTGGTCAACGTGACTATCGTCTACGACGTGACTGCTGTCTAATGCAGTGTTCTTGCGTCACCTTAAGACACTAGCACTAAAAATCCATCGGAATTCTGCGCCTTCGCCAGGCAGAGATATACTTGTCAAGGGGTTTGCGCGCTGTTTTCTGAACGATCTTGACGGCAGATTTATTAGCCTTGTGCCTGATTTGCTGGCTTTGTGTCTTTGTGCGTTCGTGCCCACCGCGAGCATTGGCTATTTCCGTCGACGAAATCGATGGATGAGGATGTACTCGGTGGCCGTGACCAGCATAGTGCAAAACACGCATCCATCAGTTCGGGGTGAATGCCGGTGAAGCACGTGACTAGGATTCGGTCAGGGACGGGGGGGAGGGGGGGTCCAAAAGTTTGGCTGATGGTACCCTTAAGTTGAGGGACCGAGCGTTTTGCTAGGGGCACAAATTTGCTTTTGTTACCGGATCTAGTCCGCGCTCCCGTTTCATGCCAGCAAGAACCTCTAAGCCTAACCAGGAGACTAAGACGCTTTTGGATGCATCGCAAAGTTTACGCGGTCCTCACTCTAGTGTACATCATTGTTGGCGCGCAGCGCTAACACTTTTTCGGTTTGATGTCCATTCTCTCCGTTGTCGAGCAGTCTCATGGGCTTCCGCGTGCTGTCGTCGTCACGTCAAGCTGCTGAGGACACCAGACGGCTTTCATCCACGTCTTGCAGATTGCGTATGCCGTGCAAATCAAATTTGGAGCTGAGGTTTTCATGATACTGCGATATTGTGGGAAAGCTCTGCCTGATCAAAACGCTTGCGTGCAAATGCCTCGGGAACATTGTAGCACGGCTTAGTCGTGCTACCTGCTACTGAGATAGTGGGAAGTGCATGGCGGACTACCATTGCTTGCAGCGTTATCAGCCCATCCTAATCGTAGCAGCCTAGGCCGGTCTGGGCTAGTCCAGTCACAAATTGTTGGTTGGTTGACGTTAAGTTCCAGGCTTGGCATGCCACTGCCCTCGTAACCATGCCGGTAACGTCGATTTCTATTCCATTCCCGAGCAAACGAGGGCTTTGCTAGGCCTAATGAACAAAAGGACGCAAAAGCCGGCCAGCTGGAGCGGCTTAGACGTTAATTGACCTAGATGTCATAAGAAAGACCTAATGCCCCCGGTATTTCAGTGTTTCCATGCTACTGATTCGTAACATTCGTTCCTACGCCGTAAGGGTAAACGGACTTTCCTTTCTAGATGATACTGGTAAGCGTACGCGATACCAAAAACGAGTGGCTGACGAACGCTCAATTTTGAATCAGAGATCGTTATTAATAGGAGCTTAAATTAAGCGTAATATTTCACCCGCAAACCAGGGCAGGTGAAAGTAAATTTTGATTGTCTCCGTAGACGCTACAACACATTAGTAATGCGCTGTAGCGCAATAGGCATTCCGCGTGATGCATGACGCGCTGAGGTCAAGATGCCACAGCGCACTGGCAACGTGTTATAGTGTGGAAATAGCGAGAAAATTTGCCGTTACGTGTCTTGATATGTAATTTAATTGCTATGCCTCACAGCCCTTTGGCTTCGTATAACGCTGAGAGGTCTCGTCTCTAACCTCGAATGGTGACTTAATACGCGCTAGGGTGGGGATCAAGCTGACACCCAAAATTTTCCGGAATGGTTTCCGAACGGCAGGGCACTGCTGCGCCAAATTTTGAACAGTTGGAGACAACTGAATAGTGGATCGTTTGGTCTTATAAATTTAGATGTACCTTGTAAGGCTGCTAACCTACGGCAGGTCAAAGTCAGGCCATGGATTCCGCGAAGTCAGTTTCTAGGGAATCGCTCAGTCTGATGTCACAATGGAACGTTAAACGAGACAATACGTCTCCGAGATATTTTCTTGGGCAATATAGTAATAAAATGAACAAATTCAATCGACCTAAGGTCAGTTTTGAAGTTCAGACCAAGGTCAAAGCCGATCTGTTTTGTTACTCGAGAATTTGCTGTATGGGGTAGTTTTTGGTGCTTATTTCGAATTTATTGATAAGAGAAATCGAACTATACATCTTCCATACACTTCTTAAAGGTCAGAACAGGTCACTGACCTGAAATGACCTAGTTCGGTACTTTTTTAGAACATACTGCCCAGCGTAACTTTTGTCGCTTATTCAAATGCGAAACTCAAAGCAGTCTTGTATGATTTTGGTCATCGTGACCTTGGAAAGGTAAGAAAAGGTCCCTGAATTTTAAGGACCGTGTGACTTTTTGCTTAGAACAGGTACCTAGGTTTCGTGTGCACTTTGGGGACCAACCTCGAGATTGATCTTGTTCGACCTTACGTGACCCGAAGGTCACGACGAAGGAACCTCAAAATTTGACCTGAGTGAGTTCAGGTACAGGTCAACACACTCTGTAAATTTGGTGTCTCTAGCTCCCTTAGTTCCTGAAATCCCAGCGGGTCAGACTGACCACCCACTCGAGCGAGGGGCATCCAGCCGGCTACCCGGGCGCGTCAAATACGCGTTTTGCGTCAGAAAGAAATCGGTGCCAGCAGTCTACGGACCACCATTTTGTGTAGCTAGCTTCACACGCCGCCAGTGCTGCGCTGTCCCCCCATTTGACATTGGCGAGTAGCCATGAAAGCAGTTTCATGCACTACAGGTTACAATCCATGATAGGCTCAAATGATAATAACAAAATCAGATGCTAATAATACGCGGGTCTCAAATGGCATTTCTTTGGTGCATGCATCGACGCCAAGTAGCAGAAATCGCGGGCTATCACATCTCTTGACTTTTGAACTTTGCATGCTAAAAGGTTTGAAATGCAGTAAAATCAAACCGACCTTTGTGAATAGCTTGTCTGGTGATGTGACGGCCATCTTCTGATCTGAATCTGAACCCGAGGCGAGATTCGAACGCCGATGCATCGCGACCTTAACAAACGTCAGAGATAATAGGCCCTGGGCAGATTTATTGCCCGATTCGGCACCAAATATAGCCAGCTGACGGCCAATTTTCTCCCGTGACAGCGTATGCTGACACGGCCGTGGATTGAAGTTACGCTGATTACCAAATAATGCCATCGAAATAAATCATCCTTCAAAGACCGCATGACTATCTTTTACAATTTCAAAGTCGTGATGCCTCCTATACCTGCCCTCAAGCTCAATGCCAGCACTGAATATTGCAGTGCAATTGAGAGTCAAATCAAAACAAAGTATGCAATGAATGATAAATGTATTCCTCAACTGCGCTTGGCAGGAAACTCAAAATAATTTGTGTGCGGGCCCACTATCCCTTTAATGCGTCTTGCCCTGAACCATTCCATGCGCATTCGTGCACATAGAGCCACGGTCACAGGCATTGTGGGCGACGAGAAAATCTTATTCTTACTTTTCTTGAAGCGAGGGAGCGTTGGTCCGAAAACAGTATGCCTTCTCCAAGAAACACACAACGACCTTTCCACTTTTCCACTTTGCTTCGGCCTCTGGTTCAGAAACGCTACAGTGCTTCCAATGAGTGTGTCACCGTAGGGCACCGGTCCGCAAACTTTGACCTTTTTGCAGCCCGAAAAATATGCGACTGGCGAACAAAAGGTGACGCATTAGCTAGGAGGCACCGCAACTTTCCGCGGATGTAACTAGGAGATAACCTTTGGGTCACCTCAATCACTAATCTTGCCCGCAATCAAATTTGACCGTGAATTCGAACTGCTTATCGTGAAAAGTCGGCAGCAGGCTTCAGAAATGCCAATGAGACCTGGCGATGGTTCCTGATCGAAATTTGTTACGTAAGTTGGTTCTATCCTATGCTCCAATCGATGCGTCCTGACGGTAGTGGATCATTCGTGTTTCAAGTGAATGCAGCTGCGATCCAAAGCACGTCAGAAAATTATTGCTGCGCTTATGTAACTGCGTGGAGATTTATTGGCTCTGTATAGTTGTTAGGCTGGCAAAGCCCACTTGGGTGCCAACATTTTTGGTTAAGGGTCTGCTTATGCGTTCTAGCATGCATCTTGAGGTGAGGTTGTTTCACCAGTCATTCGTGATAGTCATTGATGAGCGTTTAATGAAACTTTGAGTCATTTTTCTCGATACCGCAGGCTAGCGCTTCTGGCGCTGGCAGGGCGGCTCTAAAGGTAACAGTGCCTTTTGCTGCCAGTCATTTCCTTGCATAGATTTTGCCCGGAAATGGGGCGATGTCGAGGCTATTTACCTGCTGCCATGGACTCCGCCGACCATGCCACTAGGTCAAGCAGGCCTTTGACCGCATTCCCGGCCTCGCCCCAGCTGTCGCAGGCGGGTAATGGGTTATGAGTGGGTCATCAGTGTTGCGCCGGGTTTTTATCGGTGTGCACTACGCATTTATTCCATCAGCAATACCATCGTTAAGGCCAAGCGGTCATAACATGCATAACAGTTATGTTAGCCATGTTAAGTAATCTCCCCCGCTTGAGCTGTGTTGCGCGTTGGTGTTTCCGACTAATGAGACGGCTGGCGTCTGCTATACGTTTTTGCGGATCGGTCAAGCAAAACAATAACTGTAACTGAGGAAAGCAAAAGCTGCGGCAGTGTTGATGCGATCCAGACTTTATGGCATGGCGTACACATCGGGGATAGTATTTCCACTTACAATTAGCTTACTTGTCACTTCATTAGTGAATGAGGAGAAGCTTTTATAATCACAGCACGACAAACCCATTGCGTGAACAAGAGAACCGAACTCGGAGCGACTACCACAGAGTGGCAAGGCTGCCTTCTCTCACCAGCGCCGAAAGTTAGCCTGTTCGCAGCTTTCTGCGTTTGGGGCAGGTTCAGCCATTGGGCGCTCTGACACGTGTGACGCCAGGCTGGTGACGTGACGTGAGTGACGCAGGTGACGTGAGTGACGCTGTGTGAAGCTGACCCGGCGTCTCTCGCAGGCGCAGACGGGGCTGGTGCCCTGCTGCCACTGCGGACGCACGTTCTTTCCCGATCGCGTGGCGCTACACGAGAAGAACTGCCAGCCCAAGGATGGCGATGCTGTCACAAAGGAGGCGCCCACTCAGGTATGGCACGGGATCCAGTCTGCCATGTCGGGCTGGCGAGGGCCAGCGTAGCGTGTTGGGTGTTGTGTTTGTCTACATAAAATATTCAACTGCGGGTGCAGAGAGCGTCCCACGGCTACGCGGTTTTTGTCACCATCGGTTTAACGATTTCCTGAAATTGATCAGGGCTGTGTCCCCTCCCCCAGGCTATTTTTCCACAGGGCAAATAGTGCAGCAATAGCCAGCATGCCCAACCTTTTACTGCTGCCGCTGTTTCCGCGTGTAGTAATTCAATTGACGGGGGACGATTGCGACGCCTAGACGGCACGAGCGCTCCCAGCCATCGCCTCGCCACTATTTCCGGTGATCGCCTCGCCTCGCTCTGTGTCGCCACCGATGCAAAGGGGCAGCCGAGCGAGGGGCCGGCCCGGTTCCGGGCTGCGTCGGGGCCGCGAGCTCGTGCCTCGCGTCGTAACCGTGCCGCCGCCGCCGCAGAGCCAGCCGACCGTCTGCTACATCTGCAAGGCCCGCTTGCCGCCGGAGCAGATGGCCGCGCACGAGCTGGAGTGCGTCAAACGGTGGCGCGCCGAGAACGCCGTCATCACGCAGCAGATCGCGCTGCCCACCGACGCGCCCCGCAGCGACGGCGTGACAGTGGAACCCGCGGACGGTGAGGGCTGTCAGCGGCGAGAGCCGGCGGTCTGAGAACGGTGAGGGCTGGCGGTCTGAGAACGGTGAGGGCTGGCGGTCTGAGAACGGTGAGAGCTGGCGGTCTGAGAACGGTGAAGGCTGGCGGTCTGAGAACGGTGAGAGCTAGCGGTCTGAGAACGGTGAGGGAACCATCTGAGAACGGTGAGGACAGGCGGTCTCCCAACGGCGACAGCTAGAGGTCTGAGAACAGCGAGGGTCGATGGTCTGTCAATTTCAGAAGCTAGGGGTCGGAGAACGTTGGGACTCAGTGTTCCCTCAAAAGCGGGAGCTAGCGGTCTGAGAACAGCGAGGGTCAGTGGTCTGTCAATGGCCAGAGCTAGAGGTCTGACAGAGGTAGAAGTCGGCAGTCTGGTAGAAGGGAACCAGCATCTGTGACCGGTGGGGGTCGGCAGACTGAGTAACAAACGAGCCTGTCAACAGCGAGTGGTATCGGTCTCTAAACAGTGAGTAAGTGAAAAGGTGGGATCCGATGGTCCGCTAATGTCAGGGGACAGATGTATGTTGCTTTGCTTTTCTTGGCACTGGTATTGCGGTGTGGGACGGACACGGGGTCATATGTCTTAGGTTATTGTCGGCAGCTGTTGGTAGTACATTTACTGGTCAGTTTTGTCATCGGCATTAGTCGGATGGCATAAGTCCACATACCTACAGCGCTTTGCGTCGAGGTGTTCGCACTAACACCCGCGTCACGCTGGCCAACGGGCTTCAAACGGGCACTCGGTCTGGATCGACATCGATTTATCCATTAAGCGGCCGTCCGGAATGACTCGCTCCATCTGTGGCCTTTAGAAACTCATGCGTTGCCATGGAAACCCAACGCACTCATGGCTGGAAATTGTTAACAAAAGTTGACTGCTGGACGTTTGGTGGAAGCGTCCACGCTTCTTGCATTGATCTGGGCGCTGTTACGTCATCCAGCGGGAGTGCAGATAGTGCTGCGGCGAGCGAATGTTCACGCACATGACGTATATGGCCATAACAGGTACACAATGAACAGAAAGAACTCGTTCATCTGGTACTGTCCGCACCCACCAAATAGGACAGGCAAACGTAACAAGAGAATAAGCGCCCTGAGTGCGCAGTGGCGTAAACAGGATTTGGCTTATGAGGAGGGCTAAATCGGGTCATAGGGGGCCCCTCTAGGCAAGGGGCTCCTTTCCATCGCCTGCAGGGCGTCTTTTGGGGTTTGGGCGACCCTTGATCGGCTTGGGATCTTCGGCGCGTGGAGAACCCATTTTCATGTTTTAGAAGCCCTACTGGTGCCTTAAACTGGCAAAAAGTGCGGGGACCTTCGGGCTTAGCGGGCTCCTCGCCACCTCCAGGGGAAGCATGGCTTATAAAGCTCTCCTCTTGGCTACACCGCTGCTCACCAGCAGAAATGCTACGGACGAAAACTTTTCGTGCGTCTAATGCACACGGCGAATCGATGGGGATGTCTTTCGCCAGACTTCATGTGCAGATGCTAATGATTACAAAGAGATGTTGAAATATTATCTCTCTGTGCTATTACTCATCGACATTTTTGGCTCGAGGCAAACAAGCAACAAAATATATACAAGTGCGTATATTGAATTATGTTCAAAAGAAATAACTTGATTGGTAAATGTCTGCACGATGAAAATGTTATATTATGGTAATTGCAACATTATGTTGGAAAACAGCGGATAATGTGATTGCTGCATCGGCCATATCAATCGCATGCAACGCAAGCACATACTTTGCATCGCTCTCCAAACATTCCGACATGTTGAAAGAGCAAGTATCCGAAAGATATTATTAAAAGTTCTTTCAGATGTCAAGTAAAGTCTCTAGAAATTATTCTGGGATGTTCTGTATGGATTGCGCTCCGTTAAAACGCTTCAGAAATTACCGTCGCCCTCTGGTAACTGACACGTCTGCCTGCCTCGTCTGTAGTGCCAGGACCGGCCGAGCAGCTGGAGGGGCAGCTGGACGCCATGATCGACGCCGCCTGGCAGAATCACCTCTCCGAACTGGTGCCCTGTCCAAACTGCGCCAGAACGTTCTTCCCCGATCGGCTAGAGAAGCACAAGAAAAACTGCCGCGTCGAGATAAAACACAAATGAGACGCCTCGACCGGCACCTCAGCGCTTATGACCATCTCTATTTTGTATACTACTAGCGTCCGGTAGGCAGGATGGATCGAGCGACGAAGGATGGTGGCAGCTCGAGCACGAAGAGTGCGCAAGAAAGCGTCACTTGGGACCTAACTGCGTGTAGGTACAGCCGGTGTCATTCGTGCCACGCCGATGTCGGCGTTTAATCAACAGACGTTGCAATAGGATGTGATGATTTGATGTGATCTGCCGTCTCTTTGTCTGTGCCCACTCTGCTCAATGAACGTGTAGTCCATGTCAAAAGGAATATCAAAATGGCTGACAGAAAATCTAATCGACGGTGCTTTGGACAGGTAAATCTATCTGTAAGTGCCCAGTCGTAGACTATTGAAGTCAGTGAAATTCCTGAGAAAACATCACCGATAAATTATTGATAATACATCGCAACGAAAGTGGTTGTCGTCAGATAATTGACGAGTGCTGCAAGTCCGGAGTTTTGACGCCAATGGAAGATGCCTTATGTAAAAATACCGGGCGTGGTGGCCTGGCTCGAGACTTCTTTTAGAACATGTTCAGCTTCTGCCTGCCTTTGGCTGTTAGGACGCTAGCCTCGTGTGATACCGCATATTTGTACTCGGTTCAATCCGGTGAGACCTGATCCATCTCAAGTCAGCTTGCGTCTGACCTGGCGCACGTGAGAACACCAATGTGAAATCCAGCATATTGGCTAGGACGGGTTTAGGAAGGTGTCACCGTACTTGTTGGATATATTTGCCCAATACACATGTTGTCACGACATAAACATGTTGGTCGACACAGGAATTGGACGATATTTCGCCCAACACGCTTACGACCAAGTGAAGCAATACTAGCGTCTCACCTCTCAAGAAAGCAAGCCAGAACGGTCTCGTACAGCACTGGCGGTTGCGAAGTAGCACGGTTATTTGGCGCTCGATCCGTCCGCAAACACGGGGGCGGAGGTGTCCGACAAGGCGTCCACGCCCCCGTCTTCCCTCTTCGAAGCGTCCTCGTCATCGCCGTCTTCGTCATCATCGTCAGCGTCGTCGTCGTCATCGTCGTCGTCGTCATCGGTGTCGTCGTCACCGCCGTTCTCGTCTCGTTTCGCCTTGCCCGTCTCAGCGCCGGCGCTGTTCAAGTCTCGCTCTTCGCGCTCCATGTCGGGCACGGGCTCGGGCTCGAGCTCATCGCCGGAAGGGTCGAGCTGGGCTGCCTGGCGTCGGCTCCTGCCCGGCTCCGGCGGCGCGCCCCAGTCAGCCTGCCGCCAGAGCTCCAGCGGGTCCGGCTCGGCTTCGGCCGCCCGCCGCCGCGCCCGCCGCGCCCGCCGCGCCCGCCGCGCCCGCCGCGCCCCCCGCGCCGCCGACGGATGCTCGATGAGCACGGCGTGGCCGCCGTCCAGGCCGAGCTCGTAGCGCCATCGGGCGCCTCGCCGCAGCCGCGCTCGACCGTGAAGTGCAGCGGGCGACCGGCGAGCGCTCGTGGAGGATGTCGCGTGGCGCAGCTGATGGCCTCTGTGGAGCTGACGCGCGGCGTCGACCGACTTTACGCCTTCTGCTGAGGGCTTTCCACGCACATCGGGCTCTCTCAGAGACCGACGTGTCCGTAGTCCGCCGGGAGCGGGACGTGGTGTCTCGAAAACCGCGTCGTCGTCGGGGGTGGGGTGGTTGCTGCGCACTCCGCTGAGCCCGCGCACAAGTTTTGCGGCTGGTTGGTGCGACTCGACATTGTGCTGAGGGGTGATGACCAGCTTGCTTTCCCTCTTACGCCTGGAGGGCTGTTTTGTTTTTGTGCCCGCGCTCGCATGGCGTCCTTGCCTCCTCTTCCTCCGGCCGTCATCCTCCTCAATGACGACTGTCTTCTTCTTAAGCTGAACCAAGGCGGGGCCGAGCAAGCCCAATACTTGATCCACGCCGTTTTCAAACCCATCCAGATCAGCTGATATCTCCCGTTTACGAGCGATCACCCTCTCCAGGATGAGGTTCAGCTTGGTCTCCAGCCGCTTCACCTTCTTGACCAGGTCGGTGACACCGGTGCCGACCTCATTTACCTGTGTAACCACTTCCTTTGGAACGGTTTGAACGACAGTGGCTTGTATTGGTACAACCTTGGCCTTTTCTATCGTCCTGACCTCTTCCACAGTGTCCACGTCATCTGAAGAGCAGCATAACATTTGTTAGCCACGTGTGCTATGCGTAGGCAGTTGCGATGAAGTGTGTGGAAAAATTGCGTCATTCAAGTTTAACCGTATTCGTCCATCCGGTGTATATGTATTGTGTGTGTTACGTATATTGAAGTGTATGTATATGTATGTATATACAAGGCGGAAAAGTACAGACAAAACAGAATAGACATGAAAGGCAGAATGGCACCTAATTTGCATGCGGATCTTACCTTGAATTTAATAAAATTTGAGTTGCAAAAATTGAATTTAATGAAATTCAAGGTAAGATCCGCATGCAAATTAGGTGCCATTCTGCCTTTCATGTCTATTCTGTTTTGTCTGCACTTTTCCGCCTTGTATATACATACATATACATACACCTCAATATACGTAACACACAATACATATACACACATATATGTATAAATACATATGCATATATGTATATGTATATATATATATATATATATATATATATATATATATATATATATATATATATATCACAGTTCGCATGGTAGGTGAAGATCCTTTCGAATTATGCATATCTTTGTAATTCATCCATACATACACATAAAACAAGCATCGGTGAAAGAGGCAGTGGCAGACGTATCTTTGGGTAGTCAGCCCCCTTTGGCTGAGAATTGTGGAGATGGGATGCTCGAAACCCGGGTTGTGACATGGCCCCCGGACGTTGATGTAGCCACCGCAGTGGCTGGCGCTCCATCGTTCCATAAAAGGGTGCGCGATGACACGCATTGCGTTCCTCCCTTGAAAACACGTGATGAAAGGCCAGTTTAAGATCAGCTTGGGCAGCTAACAACGGTGCTCAGAAGTCTACGCATTATCTCTTCATAATTCAAATAATTGAGCTAATATCCTCAATTCGCACCGGTACGTATTTAACAAGCAAGCGCTGGATAAGTAGTCTTGGGAGTCTTCTCACCGCCTCCTGCTGACATTTGCATGAATTTGTGACGCTGGTTCGCTTGGTGTGCAAGAGAAATTAGGCTGCGCCATAATATAATTGATGCGCACCCACCTTGAGTACCATATTCACATGTGAGAACAGAGAAAGCACCGAATCTTCACAGCACCGGAAGAGACGACGCCAAAGGCCGAAGGTGCTCTGTTTTTACCCCTAGCCTTTTTGCACAGGCTGTGTGGTATTCGATATCCATCTCAGCCTTCATTAAAACTGCGAGTCGCAAGCAGAGCACCAGTGTTTGCCAGTGCTCCCAGCGAGCAGCTGCTGCAGGGAAATGCAAATACCGTATCACTACAGAACAAACGGCCGTCGCCATCACATTATCCACAGAACGGAATGGCTGCTTCCAGCCGATGCGGCGTGGCGAAGCCTCGGTAGAGCGTTGCGTCAAGGGCACGGGCTTGCCTGTGCCCCTGACACCTGCCATCGCAATCGTCAGCGTGCAACGTGTAACCGACCGAGGAGTTGCACTGCAGGAAAACAGGTTATCCAGCACTACTTAACTGACAGGCGGGAAGACAACTCTAGATTGAACCTAAATATATGAAGTAAGATTTTCGCCCAGGTGATTCACTCTAGGATTTGCTATGTCCCGCAAGGCCTATGATCCTTAAGCTATTTCTACAACACTCTCCAACTTTCACATCATTGGCATGACAGCATAGCAAATGTCTAAGGTTAAACAGAGCTCAAATGCTTCAAAAAAGCCAAGACACTAAAAAGCGTGGCAACACCATAGCATTCAAATACTCGTCTTTATTTATGAGATCACACTATCCAAATGGATCACACATCTAGCCATAATAGGGTTCAATCAGCTCACATCGCCTAACTTGCAGGGTAGTTCAGCACGTACTCGCTGATCTGGGCAGTTTCTTAGCATGCCACAAAACGTCAACATACAACAGGCTTCTTGAACAATATGATGCGAGACCACACACCCCTTCATCTATCGCTTAACCCTCAGTCCACCAGGACCCCTGTTCAACTTCGAAACGAGGGCACGCAGTGTGTGGTTTTCTTGTACGCGGATTCAAGTTTAACCGACGCAAACACTGCAACGTGGCTACGATCACTTATCTTCGTCATCATCGTCATCATCATCGTCATCGTCATCGTCATCATCATCGTCGTCATCATCGTCGTCATCATCATCTTCGTCGTCGTCGTCGTCATCAATGATGATGTCTGTTTCTCTTCCCTGCCTCGCATCGCGCTTTCTTCGCTTCCCAGCTCCCCCTTGCGCTGATCCAAGGAGACGTAGAATATTCATGATGCCCGTTTCAAACCTCTTGAGTTCGGAGGCAATTTCCTTCTTTCGCTGAACAACTTTAGCCATCACAGCATTAAGCGCGTCCTCGATTCTCCTCGTCAACTTTACCAGATCTGGTCCAGTAACGTCCACCTTCTCCACGTCAATCCGCTCAATCGCTGCGGACGGCGGGGGTGCCGGTGGTGCTGCAGGAACCGTTTCGATAATCTTCTCTTCCTTGGTAACCACCTCCTCTGAGCCGTCACCTTCATCATCGACCGATACAACGTCCACCTCACCTGCAAGAAAAGGGAAATCTCACACATCCCTCCGTGACATTTTCTGAAAAATGCTTGAAAATGAAGCGGTGGGATGTGGAGCTTTCCCTTAGCTTGCACGTAGCCCGACCTATGAAATCTAGGGCACTGCTCCTCCACACCGTTTCATTCCCGATAACTTTACTTCGCGCCCATAATTACCTCCGCTATCATAAAGTGACAACTTGAGGAAATTATCTGGTCAGTCCACATGTCATCAAAGTGAGAGTGGAAAACAAATGTGACGTAAGCACGCTGGTTGACTTGTACACCCATGCAACATAAGGAATTGTAACCTTCACTAAGTTCAAGGATCTTTAAGTAGCCTTCCTGGGATCATAAAAAACTCTTAATGACAGCGCCGTCAAAACCAGTATTTGTTACATTCCTTACACTCGTTTTGCAAACAACAAACGGTCAAAGTGATGTCGGGTTACTGACTATCATGCCGTTTCTTAAGTTCACACAACATGGTTTGTTTTCTTGTTTGGAAAAAAAATAAATGCGTACGATGGATACCAATGGCTATCTACTTAAAATCCCCATCCCACATATCACTTCGGATACACCATGAACATTTTCCAGTTCAAACGAGATCAATGATTGATGACAGCGATTTCTAACCAGGAATTGATTACATACCACCACTTTACACACAAGCTAACTCGGGACACGGTTCTCTGAGTAATCACATGGAGGAGCCTCGTGGTTTGCCTCGGCATCATAATCTCGTCTGCTTCATGTTCGTAAGTGGTACGGTGGACTACATCTAAAACGTCACTGAGCATAGCTGAACGTAGCTGGATCCCTCAGCTGGCAGGCGATCCACTCGTTTTAGTTTCCTGGCTAGAACTCAATTATGCCGGAAATGACGAAAGGTGTCCATCGCCCCTTCGCCTGGAGCGCGCACGAAAATAGCTCCAACCTGGTTAGTATTACTGCAGACGTGTAAAAACTCTTGCTTTCTTTAGGAAAGCTAAAATAATGTTAAAACGACACTTTCAATAAACAAGCGAGACATGGCTGTGTACATGAGAGTTCGGGCGATGCAACGAATGATCAGATGGCGCTCAAAATAGGCAAACGGATTAGGATGAACGACGCGTGAATGCTGAAAAAACAGAAGCACTAGGCTTAAGTGTACTCAGTCCCAGCCTAGGACTGTGGACACTAATAAGGCAATCATATCGGCTGATGTAAGCACCATTCCGACGCATCCGTTCAGAGCGACTAATCGTACAGCCGTTCAAAAAAGATACGACCGATTCCTTGAAGGTTTTGATCACGCCTCATCATTCGAATTTACCTTAGAAAATCTGGCTTAAGCGTTGCTTGCCAAGGTTTCGATTTATGATCCTAATCCGGATAGCTTTCTCACCGAGTTAGATACCTTCGAAGGCACTCACGCGATGTGACCCCACCAGAAAAACAGGGCTATAAGCTACGAAGCGTTGCTCTGACCGGGTTCAGATCTCCATGAACAGCCCTGCAGTCTGAGATACCCCGATGCAACACTTTTCCAAGTCTGAGAGTGCAAGTGCTTCATGCGCCCCTCGAAGTCTCATAGAGTCTATCATATAACGAATAAATCGATGCATGAATCCCTCAGCATAAGCACTGTCTCACCTGCTGTGACGAGGGATATTACGCAGATCACAGACGTGGCCAGTAGAAATTTCTTCATCCTAATCACTCCTCATGTAAGGTGCACTTTAAAGAAAACTTTCGTCATATGTTATTTACATTGTCAACCTTGTTAAAAGCTATGAGACCGCAACAGGCTTATCTCCGACACTGGTTGGGAAAATCACGTCAATAAAAATGGATAGGGAATTATCAATTGAAAGATTCTCGTGCCAAGAGCACGAGACGTAATTTCATTTTATGAACTCCAGTTTTCAACGCCTCGGTCATTGTTTACATTAATATTCTCGAACGGGTACTCCAGAGCATGAAACATTCGACCTATTTAAACATTCCGAGATAACCATGTAGTTTCATTTGGATGCCGGAATTCTACCACAATGTAATGTTTACCCAATTTATTACCTCAGCAACGATAACCTCGTCCATAATTGTGATTGCAATTTATTGTGTTGTCATCGTCGGTGGGCAGGATTATGACAGCGATGCGTGAGTACCTACAAGCTTGTGGTGATTTGCGTTTTCTGGGTGCGCTGTTTCTCCAAAAGTCGAAAGGTGCGGAGACATTTCGTTGGTTTATAAAAATGGCACAATAGATAGCACGGACTTCATGCCATATGATGACTTGTTACTTCCAATTATTCGTAAGATTTGGATAATGTCGCGAAGGATTGCCGAAAGCTTGAACAGGGCCATCAAGGTTGTTTAGATCATAGCTGGTCGTCATTTACTACGCAAAAACAGCGTAAATCTAGGGTATGCTATACTGCGCTTCATTTCTCACAGTTATCCTGACGAGGACCAGCGAATCAGCGCCAGCACTTCTCTGAATGCAAAAGGAATTCGTCACAATGCAAAACGCGGCGGCGACTCTCAGGTGAGATATTTGGGGATAGACACTTGAGGATTCCCCAATGTGACTTGTTAAGCGTTCATAAAGTTTCAAGACAGAATCTCTTTTTGTTGGGTGAAACGCAGCGCAAATGCTTTTTCAGTACCCGTGCGACATACATGTCTTCCACCGCCGGAACAGCATGTGCCTCGTGCGTCTTGTAGCATTCATGGCATTTGCTTCACCAAAGCTTTAGTTCATCCGGTGTCACCATGCCGCCCACAGAAAGATCAGCCTATGGGAATGAAGACGTCGACCGTAATAAAAATAAGCCCAGAAAACAATCATCCGACAAACTCGAACGAAAAGAATGAAGCTTCTGCTGCTACAAGCGCAGACAAACGAGTCGATGAAAGAGATTTGGTGGTAATTGAAGACGTTGACGAACAAACTGACAACCAGACCAGTGTGACAGTAGACGACGCAGAAAGTCCGTCTGTCATTCAAGCAAGCTTGGAAAATGAATTGAAAAAGCCGGATGCAGTGATCATATCCCACACTCCCAACACAAAAATGCAACTTCCCGTCACAGTTGAGAAAATACCATTGGTTGTCACCAACAGCAAAGGAAAGGAAAAGACGGTCTTAACGCAAAAGCTGGATCAGAAACCATCACGGGTTGTTGTGGACGTTAAGGAAAAGAAAGATAAGACTGATCCTCTTGGAAAGAAAAAGTGGGTAACTGATTTGGTAGTAGAGGGTAAGGCGAGAAAGGTGGACGGAAATAGCGTTGTCGACACAGTTGTGAGCGAAGAAGAGGAAAGCCTGCCTGTGCCTGAGGAAGTGATAGACGTAGAATCTAAAGAAACAGACAGTGGAGAGATTATCGATGTTAAGCCGGTTTCCTCGTCCTCCGAAGAGGTGGGCGCCATCAAGCCAGCTCAAGTCAAGTCTGCACAGGTAATCGATGTTGAACCTGTTCAAGTCATTTCCGACGAGGTGATAGAAGAGGTCGAACCACCGGCTCCGCCTGCCGAGATCGAAGTGGTCAAGGCGCAGCAGCCCGTAGTGGTCGTTAAGACCGTGCAAAGAGACCCTGAGGACATAGACATTGAAAACATCGGGACGCAGAGCAAAGACGTTACGGTTTTGAAGGAAAGCAAGCACGAGATCTTGGAAGAGCTGTCGGACGATTTGTCTCCAGACCTCGTCCGGTGGGCCGAAGAGGCCATAGCGGCTGGGGATCGAAAACATTGTTAACGAAGTCGAGAACAAGTACATCGCCTTCATGCGGAGTCGGGGAAACTCCAAGAGGCGAAAGAGAGCTGTGTCATCAGACGACGATGACGACGATGATGACGACGACGACAAGGCCACCAGCAAGTCCCTGCACCGCGCTCTGAAGAAGGTGAAAAAGGCCGCCGCCGTGTTGGCCACCAGCGAGGCCCAGAACGCCGCCAAGGCGGCCTCGACTGCGGCAAAGCTCAACATGGACGTGACAAGCCAGGCAGCCAGCAACGCCATGAAGTCGGTGGCTTCGGCCATCGGCGCTGCCTCCAAGAGCGCCACCAAGCAGATCGTGGACGCCGAGAACGCGGCGGCGGCGCAGGCGCTGTCTGAGTCAGCGCCGGCCATCGCCAGCGGCGCCAGCGCCCTGCCCGCCTCCGCAGCCGCCGACGCGTCGTCGCCCGACGCTGCGTCGCTCGACCAGCTGGCGGCCGCCGGCGGCGCTGGCAAGGACCTGATTCAGCAGACGCTGCAGATCCAGAAGGGCCTCAACCTGGTCATGCGCGCCGTGCTCAAGGAGAAGGAGCGCGTGGCGGCCGACCTGGCGCGATACCAGAACAAGATCAGCTTCCTGCTGCGCGAGATGACCGGCGCACCGGCAAGCCTGAGCGTCGTGGAAGGCTCGCGCCGCCGTCGCCGCCGACAGGCTCGTCGCGCACGGCGCGCCGCCGTCAGCACTGAGCACCTGCGCCAAGTGCTGCAGCGCGAGGAGAGCCGCCTGAACGACATGCTCCGAGTGCTGGATGCCACAGTCGGCGGCGAGAAGAAGAGGAGGGCGACGCCTGGTGAGTGTCATGGGAAGCGCACGAAGCGCTCAAAAGCAAGCAGTCTGCTGAGATGTGCTGAAATCAGGTGAGTGTGGAGAACAGTGTCGGTCGTGATGTATCGTAGCAAATGACCATGTCAATCGCGTGTTTTTGTCACTTGGTGCTCGTGGTACGCGGCATGAAATATACATAATAAACTGACTGTTGGACGGTGTGGTAACGAAGGCTAATCATGTCGCCACGATACAAATCAGGCTAATACTGAAACGAAAGACGAGAGCTAAAGTAAAATTCGTGCTAACTGCCCGGATTAGTGCGTAAAGTTGTTGGTGCCGGTAGGCTGGACGGGCGAGATACACTGGTGCTTGATGGTTGACATTGACGCGGAGGGGGTTGACGGCATAGCGAGCGGCCAAACTCGAACTAGCTATGGTTCACGCCCCGTCCCACTGACATGCCGGTGTAAGGCGGCTGTGCGGCGGCGGAACGGCTTTCGAAACGCCGCTGAGCTAGTCCGGTGTGCAGGTGCGACATGTTCCATGTGGTGAGGGCGTCACTACCCGGTAAACAACAGGGCCATGCTCAGCAATGACGGGTAGGTGGAATACAGGGGGATCGTTTGCACCGTTTGCTTGCCGGCTCGACAAACGCTCGCAGAACAGCTATCCATGGCCAAATGCCCCGCCTCACCTGTACTCAAGCATCAGACACGGACTTTTCACAGCGGCGCTTTGGTGGAGTTCGCATCGTCCCATTCCCAGCGTGCCCTGGTTCGAGGCAACCTCACTGGAGGGAAACACAGCGAACCATCGCTCGCTGACCAGCGCCCCGGTATCGACCATCGCACGCACGGCTTGGCCGGTGGTGCCGATACGTGAACTGTTACGGCAGTGCAGGAGCCGCTTCGGGGAAACGACACCATAGTACGGACATCGAGGAATACGTGTCGATACTGTCCCGAAAACCGCACTAGTTCTGGGAATCATCTACGTTCCGTCACCCGTGCCCCAGGAGGCTCATTGCATTATGTGCTAGGTTTCCGGCCCACGAGGTATGATAATCAATGTTGGCCATAGCAGCGGCAGTGGTGGGAATCCCCTGCCCAAGCAACATGCATCAAGCGCAGTAGCTGGGAAGCAGAATGCTTTCAATCGGACCCTCTATATTCTTGAATAGGTATTGGGCTCTGACCTTAAAGTGCCTACTTTCAGCTTGTGACAGGGCACCGCCTGCTATTTTACAATGCGCCGCTCTTGCGACAGCCCGTTGATAGGTTCGTCACCGACGACGACGCCCTTTGTTCAGGAGGATCATTATGAAAAAACAATGTCCACACCAACACTGCAGTCGTTCGGCCAACCACCGCTCGCAGACAGCCCCGTCCTCTGCAAGACTCTGGACGGACATCACTCGCGGCATTATTCAGGGTTCCAAAAAATGGGCCGAGCGCTGTTTGATGTTTTTATCGGCGACCTCCACCAGGGCGTGCAGCTTGTCAAGACCTTTATGCATGAGTACGACGAAGGCTCTCGCACAGTTTCTCGCCGTCGATAAGCGCTTCATCCCTGCATTTCAACACATCGATATTTTTGCGGTTTCGTCACCGATGGTGAAACGGCAGCAGACCAGGAGGGTCAGTCTGATGCGGATCGCCCGTTTCATGACCACACGCGAGGGACTTCCAGCAAAAACAAATCATAAATTGGAAATGCTTTCTTCGGGGAGAGGACTTCTCAACAGTGCTTAGCAAGCACTCTGGTTGATGCCGAACCCATTTCTACAAAGCATGCCGAGAAATGTCTAAAATGTCAGTTATTACGCTACCCACTTACAATAATCCTTCGACGATTGACATGACTTCAATCTAGCCGGCCGGCTGCTCCTGCATAGTCCCATATAACAAGCATGAAATCAAAGAGTACATAGATATCACGGTCTTGGGTGTCACCAGGCATTAAGTCCCGCTTGGAAACGTCGGTCATCGGGCCTCTGCTGTCGTGCCGCTGCCGCCGGATACTCCGCTGGCTAGGCAGCACGGGTTACCGCCTTCCGAAGGGCTGTACAGCGCGTGACAATGGAGGAGCCACAAGTCCTCATGAATGGTACTTCATGTCCATTTAGAAGACCTGCACTTCAGTAGCCAGACAGAAGCATGTGCAGCAGACAGCGACGACTCGCGCAGCAGGCAAACGCCATCGGCGGCCTGAGACTTCGTGATCGAGGCTCCACCTGCTCTGTTGGTTTGAAATCGCCGACGGTTGGTCACGTGACTACCTTCCGGACACCAACAGCGCGCCTACGATACTGCCGAGGGCTCCTTTCGCGCTATCGTCTGCCTGAACGTCGCAATAGCGAGGAAACGATACACAGAATGTCAGTTCACAATGTCTCGTCCACCGTTCAAGGCATTTCAAGTGGATGACATGAACCAGACTAGCACCTGAGAATGGAGAGGCTGAAGCACCTCCGCAGAATGGTGCGCCGCCCAGGGATGCCCAGCCACGGTCGCTGCAAGCACACAGCGACCGAGAAAGGGTCGGTGATGGCTTTTGACCGCACCCGAAACTCGAGGTCTGCAGCAAAGTACCAACCGCCAGCCGACTGCCCCGCAGAGCTCACGCAATGCAATGCAGCAGCTCCTGGGGACGCGGTGTTAACTGACTTGAACTGGATATAGGAAAGACATTCAGCTACTCGTTCTTCGGCGTTGTCTGTTCAAAGTTGTCATATTGAGTTAACGAACATAAAAGTACCATGAGGTACTAATCAAACGACGATATGGTGCGTAACAACTACATTGAAGGCACTCAATATTTCGAGCTGCGCTCATCCTCGGGAGGGATAAGCTTGAGCTCTGCACTGTGAAGGACGAGTGCACCCCAGAATATTGAGTACCGTCAATTACGCCGCTGTTTAACGATGCGTCGTTTAACCAGTACCTCCTGGAACACTGAAGACCGTTAACTCCACGTCATGACTGAACTCGTTGACGTGAGCCGTCTCGCCTGACTGGAACCATCATCGGTCCGCTAAAACAAGCATGTCGCCGCACGCTCGTTTTATGCGGCGACATGCCCATCCACAGAACAGCTACGCTCGAAAGGCGTGTCTCGTCCCATACTGTATTCCGAAAATGACAGTTGCCATCATACCCCACATCGGGTACACCCCACGCGCGCCGCCGCCGGAGTCAGCTGGCCAGTAGGTGTTTGGCGAAGTCTAGCCTCGTGTCCAGCACCACCGTCTCCGCCGCCTCCAGCTGCGACACCAGCCACCCGGACTCGGCGTCCCGCTGCTGCTTCGTCTTCTTGGTCCGCTTCTTGACAATCGAAGGCGGCGTGACGGCCGGCGTGAACCGCATCTCCTTCGTGTCGTACGTGTCCAGCACCTCCGTCGCCGATCTGCGACGGAAACGCACAGCCGTCGACAGCCGTTGACACAGACGTCACTCCCTGACCGACACCAACGACGAAATACACATGTTCAAACCGATCCCGCAGTGAAGCTACGATGCGACCCCGCGGCCCCACAGGCGCCAGCAGCCACGACGTCTCAGACACGCTGCGGCGCCCCCCGACGCTCGGCAGCCCCAGCTCCCCCACAACACGTGCACACGACCCCATGCACTGGGCGGCGGTGGCGGCGGCGCGGGCAGCTGGCCGGGCAGGACCGACTCACTGTTGCCGCAGCGTCACCGACAGGGCGAAGTCACCCTGGACAGGACAGCCGAGCATGACGTGGGCGGCCAGCGTCCGCACCGGCTGGTGGTAGCTCCGCTGAGGACAGACCTAAACTCAGCTCGCCGCCCCCGGCGTCGCTCCGCCGTCAGGCGGGGGGCACGAACCGCGCCGTATGCCGCGGCGCAGCCACACCCAGTGGCATGGCTTACTCTGGCATGAGCTCATATAACATTGGGAACATCGAAACAATATTTTCGGGTTAAGACGTACTTCAGGACGGGCATGACACTGCAGCATATACAAAGTTTTACACTGATAGGTACATCATCTTTTTCGTAGATCCACACCATCTCCATTGCAATTCTTCCACAAACTTTTGATCTCAACGAAAACCGAACGACCAAAAAGCTGTTCTGGGATACTAAAAACATGGAAAGTAACGGCATTACATCGCGGTCCTATCTTTAAACGCCAAAGTTCCAACCTCGCAAATGAATAGCAACGAAAAAGCTGACAAAAACGAAAAGCACATACAACACACAGCACTTCAGCTCCCTGTGCACGTCACTTACCACAAGTCCCCCCCCCGCCCCCGCCCCCGCCCCCGCCACCCGCCGCCTGACCCCCGCGTGCGGCGGGCACCCACCCGTAGCAGCGTGAGCTCGTAGAGGAGAGTGTTGCCGGCGCCACAGTACTCTGGGTCATCCACGTCCGGCCGGTAGAGGCCGCTCGCCACCGACTCCGTGTCCAGCAGGCGGCCCGTGCTGGAGTGCACCTGGCCGGGGGGGGGGGGGGGGGGCACGTCAGGCCGCGCTCCACCGCTGAGCGCACCACCGCTCGCGCACGCTCGGCTCCCCCGCCAGCCGGCAGCTGTCGATTGCAGTGCAGACTGTAAGATGCTCTGCGCCGTGGAACACTGCTCAACTCTAATTTAGTCTGCCGTGCGGGAGCGAGAGGCTTCCGCTAGTGGGCTTGGCAGCAAAAGTGTCAAAATTGTACCCTTGTAGAGTGTCAGTCATCTGCCCAGATGTGGTTGAGAATACGGATGTAATGGACACGCGAACACGAAGACCACGGAGAACAACGGATAGGGAAACCACAAACAGCGCCCCTCCCGCCGACACTGCGAACACCGGACAGGCGTACCCTCACAAGACTTCTGGGCGGTGCCCGAGCCTACCCACGCCCTCGATCCGAGCAGGCGCGCTCCTCCAGCGCGTGCCGGCCGAGCTGCGCGGCAGATCCGCGCTCACTGACCATGGCGACGCTCCTGATTCAGCATGAGGAGGGCGGCGGCGGCCGGGTGCGGCGCCCGCAGCGCCACCGACGCCAGCCGCTTCGTCAGCGCCAGCACACGCTGCGGCGAGATCTTCTTGCGCCGC